GCCTTACAGAGTATCCTTCCTGTTACTCAAACAGCTCCAACGTGTGCGCTGCCTGTTCTGGTGGGTACAGTGCAAACCCCGTATCCACAAAGAAGGGACAAGTCCCTACCTGATCGTCCGTGTTGACGGCGCCAAACGAACGCCAGACCGCACCTTGCACTGCACAGGCGATGCTGCAGGCTGCAGGCTGACCTAAGTACTGAGTTCGTACAGTACTGTACTTACAGGCCTCCCACGCTATCGTGTTTCATTTTTGGCGTCGTGCCAAGGCAGGGTCCTGCTGGCCTTTATTCTGCCACGCCACGCTATTTCGGGCCAAGGGTCAAGGCCTGGCATGGCATCAGGAGACGCTGGAAAGTCCACCTTTTGGAATAATCTCTTGTTCCATTTCGGCTCATGGCCCACCAGTGGGTAAGCGCAGTTTCCAATCCCTGCTACTGGGAGTATTTGTGCTGAATACACCGGTGCCGATCTAATCCCCGTCCAGGGTCTGAGTAATTGAACAAATTTCCCCAGATGCCCGACAAGTACGATACCACTCGTACTCGACTCGTCCCGACTCCTACATAAAGGGGCCGCCCCCCCAAGGCCCACGGAATCTATATCCAGCAATACAACAAGGTCAAGCAACACAGACTATTTCCAGCCTGCAGCATCAAGTTTCGAAACAAACTCTATCCTCGACCAAGAAACATCTACCATTGCGTAGCCAGCAAACCCCGATATAACTCTCCAACCTCATCAACCTATATAACCTTGCTGCTACCCCCGAGACAAACCACACTTATCACCAACTCCCGAATTACCAAACTACCTTCGACATCCCCTCGAATCCTCATCAAACACAATCACAATGCCTGCTGCCCACCGTCCCTCGCAATTGCCTCCTTGCCCAGGCCCGCCACCAAGCAGACCCCTCCCCCCTCTGCCAAAGTAGAGTAGAGGCTCTTTGACAACCCCAACAACACCTCAAATCGGATACCAAATCTATTTCAACTCGCGGTACCAATACACTTTTGCAGATCGGAAATTCAGTCTCAATTCTGTTCTCTCCTTGACATTCTTGTGTCATCTCAATCAAGGCAACATGCAAACAAAGACGAAGCGCCGATTTCCTCCCCGTCTTCGAAATACAACATCGGTTTCATACCCACACCCATAGCCCTATCCATGCTACATTTTCATGGCCGCAGATACGAATGCACCTCGGATCTCCAATATACCTTATGCATCCCTCCCTTGCTTGGCTGGCCCCCAAGTACCACAACAGCAGCCCAACATCTGACATGCATATCACCAAACGCCATGCGGACTTTCCTGGGACATGACTAGACCAGCATTATCGGCCCACACCTTTTCAGCGTGCACCGCACTGCACGCCTTGCGCGCCCAGCCATGATTTTGGGTCGTCCGTCGTCTCTCGGCGATCCGCCATTGAGCGTGAGAGCGGCGCAGCTCGGGCTTACCCTCCACATTCAACAACACATCCGTTATCGTCATTCAGTTCTTTTATCCGCCCTTGGGATTTTCCAACGCGCTGCACCGTTATCGATTTCTGGGAGTGCAATGCATGCGATGTCTCGAGCCGGCCTCGAATCCGTGCGTTCTACATGCAAGCATATGCTAGTCTATTTTTTGATATCCAGCTTTTTCTTCTAATTCGCTCGTCTGTACCAACAACACATTTATGGGGGCTTGGGGCGCTTATCTGGAACTTTTTCATAACATATCCTGCCGCCGTCGAAGTGGCACTTACTCCTTTCTTTTACGAACATGGCATACGCCTGGGGCTTTCAACTGTAACATATCAACCGGCGTTTATATTTATTGGGATTGGCAATGGCAATGGCACACTGAGATCCATATGGGGAATACAGTCAGGAGACACATGGGATTAGGGTTCTGGGCTAATTATGCAATCAGTGCGTATTTTATTAATTGGATGCCCCATGGGGAACGGAATGGAATACAGATAAAGCCATATAATATTTGAATGGCAAGCCAAGCACATGCAATATCAACATCAATACCAAGATTCAAACACAATCAATCTTCCCACTTGATCCCATTCCGTGACATCCCGAAAAGGGTTACATGATGCTTCATCCAGCTCATGATTGGGTCGCAGTGCTCCGCAAGTAAACACTTATTGATTGTTATAGGTATATCACATATACATAATCCTGCTATACATACCTATAGATGCATGCATGTATCTATATGCTCCGCAATATGTGCACACAGACGTGTGACATGAGTGCCAACGTGCCCGGGCCATCTACGTACATACGGGGCTAATGTGGCCACGAGGACAGTACACTCACTCACTCACTCACTCGCGGCTACCAGACTGACTGACTCGTTATACTACTGTACTCGACATGCATGATATGATATGATATGATATATCTAGGTACCTGGGGTATAGAATAGGATGGGATAGGGCAGGGTGAGGTGAGGAACCCCCACTCTACTACTTCATTCACCTGTGCACTGCACTTACTCACTTATCTCCGACCGAGAGGAAGAAAGAGTACTGTACCTAGGTATGTGTTGTACGAATTCACAACCTCTGTGGTTTTATCTCCTTAAGCGCCCTATCCGTAGCTAATGTAGCTAAGGTACGTACGTAGGCAGGCACCTTTAACCGCTTACTCTCTTCCTTCCTCCCCTCAGTTTATGCATGTGCTGGTCTTTCCCCCCTTTCTGTTCCTCGCTTTATTCTTGACCCGTTTCTGAAACTCAAATGTTTGATGATTTGAAACGTGAGGGGGGATGGGGGATTTGATGCATAGGTACGTACTGTGCTGTACTGTACCTAGGTATGCGTCGGAGGGATATCTACATATGATGAAATGAGATCATTGATTTATGTGATTGTGCTTGTGATTGTCAGTGTGATTGTGATTCAGATCCGTACTGTACGTACGGATCGAGTAAGCACGTCACTCGCTCACGATAGCATGTATGCGGAGTAAGTGGGTACAGTAGAGTGGGGATGGGATGGAGGGGAGGGTAGGGCGGCTGGCTCGGGCCTTGGCTTGGTTATGGATGGTAATAATGCGGAGTTTAGAAAGTACGTTAATTAATTATCGTGTAGATCATCAGATCAGAACGCAATACTGTAGAGTACACCAAGCCCTATGGTGATTGCTAAGACTGTGTCTACTTATTTTAGGGGAAAAGACGACGACCCTCGTGATTCTCCATTCAGGAACATAGGACGGGACAGGACGGGACAGGCGCAAGAGAGGAGAGAGACAGCGGGGAGGGCCGCTGGGCCGAGGGGCCCAGAAAAAGAAAGAAAACGCTTCCCGTCCCGTTCCCGAATGCGAGGTTTGGATTGATTGACTTGACTTGCTCTTGGTTTGTAGGGGTAGGGTAGTAGTGAGGTAGGATGGGATGGGATGGGCTGGGATGGGATGGGATTCATGAGAGAAATATTGATTGATCATGCTTGTTTGATTGATTGATTAATTTAATCTAATAATTCATGGGAAGACGAGTAGCTGAAAGATAAAAGATGGGGCACTGCACTGCTGTAGTCGTGATAAGTAGAAAGAGGCTCGTGACAGAGATACAACGCAGCTGATAAGTGGGTACTGTATCGATGTCTGACGTTTTAAATGGGACGAAGTGAAGGTACTACTGTAGGTGGGCGGCATGTATTGACGATCCTGATAGATCTGCAGAGATGATGGGGGCGGGATTTTGATCGTCAGGGGAGGGGGCGGGAGGGGACTGGCTTGGTAGTCGTAGTCTCTTTCTCCCCCTCTTTGGGGTTTTGATACTGTGCTGTCCTATTACTGTACTGTCCTATATCTCTGTACGGAACGGGGAGGCAGCAGCAATGTAAGCCGTCGGAGGACGTTACCGAATCCGAATCCCCCAGTTCGCTTTGCTCCCATTTCCCAGGACCATAGCATCCGTGACTCCAGGAGGTTTGTTGGTTGGGTACCGCGCCTATGGTACATGGCATGGTACATGTAACCTTGGGTTTAGGCACTTGCTTCTCCATGTGGGATGTACAAGGTTATTACCCTGAACGACTTTTGTTTTGCTACCTATTCAAGGAACGCAGGCTGGCGTGTTATTATTGGAATACCTGATTCTATTACTCCAGGGTAGGAATAGGAAGGCACTATGGTGAGATTCTTGTTTCTTGTTTTCTCATTTTCTCATCTTCTTATCCTCTCAGCTGGTGTGTGAAAGTAAGACGTGACGTGACCAATGAACAGACAAACTTGCCGAGGAAAAGGGGGGTGCGTAGTATAGTGGGGGGCAACCACTACGAGGTTATACGAAAAAGGCACCGGCATTGTGCCTGATTTGAATCGGTGGAGTCGAGCAGCCTAGAGTCGTGCAACCCGCGTGGTGATAAGGCAGGTGAGATGGAGGTGTAGCGACGAAGGTGGGGTGGGAGTCGGAGAGGGGGAGGGAGAGGGAGGGAGAATTGTCGGGTTAAAGGAGGGGAGGGGGAGAAACCGGTGGTGTGGTACTGGGTGGCTGCACGTGGAACGCGGTGATGTGGTGAAGATTTGGGAAAAGCAATCGAGCATCACCACATGGGAATGACGCGTTCCTGTCAGACAGATGCCTCCCTGCGTGGATAGTGTTGGGGCATTCAAGATATTCAAAACATAAAGAAAAAAAGTACTAGGTAGGCAGTTTGATGCGAGAAACGCGAGAAGTGAGAAAGACGAGGGAGGATGAATTAAGGGGGAATTCATCACGTGGCTTCGCGTAAGAGTAGGAAAAGTCTTGGCAAAACAGAGTTCAATCTTGAGATTCATGTTTGAAGTTGTAATAACAAACAACACGACACCTAATAACCAACTCGGCGCAAAACATTTCACCTGTACCTCCTATATCAAACCATTTCATCTGCGTCTTTTCGGAAAACAATCCACCTTCCAACCTCAACTCTCTTCCTCGCATTGGGGTTGAAGTGGCTTGCAGAACGCGGAAATTGAAACACATTCATTCTGCACGATAACACCATGGTTCTCGAGCTTCATATATGGGGGCCCGCCTTCGGCCTCCCCTCGATTGATCCCCACTGCTTAGCAGCAATCGCATATCTCCAGCAGGCTGTGCCTAGGGGGAAGTGGCAGTTGATTGCTACCAGTGATCCAGCTCTCAGCCCAACGAGTACGCCTTGAGCTCTTAAATAGCCCCCCTTGGCTTACTTAACTGACAAATCATTTTTGCAGATGAGCTTCCCGCACTGCGAAATGGCGATATTTGGATTGGAGGCTTCAGGAATATCTTCCATTACGTCGCGCAGTTCTCATCCGGAGAATGGGTTCTGGATGCCGGACATCCAGACCAGCAGGGCGCGGATTGTATTGCGTGAGTCCTGAGTCCTGAGTTTATACATATGGCACGTTGCAGAACTATTCCTGATCGCTGTCTGAATTACAGGTTCTCATCCTTCGTAGAAGCACACGGACAACCTCTTATCGATCTCTCCCTATATGTATCGTCCCAAAACTACACATCAACAACACGCCCCTTGTATAATACAATTCAACCTTTTCCTCTACCATACCTTACACCACCCTCTGTTCGTGCAACAGCCAAGCAAAGAACAGCTCATCTGGGGCTGTCATCATTGGATGTTGATACCGAGGACGCAGACGCAGCTCAGGAGAAGTCTATCATCCCAGAGAGTCTGCGGAAGTCGAAAAACACAGTATCAAGTCTACTTGCTGCGAATCCGGAAAGCAATGCACAAATCAGGCTAGACGCTTTAGCTACAAATTACTTCGAACCCCTGCAGAAGATAAAGGGCAAAAAGCCGTATCTTGTGTCTGATTCGCAGTTCTCGAGTTTAGATTGTCTGGCATTGGGATACCTGTCTTTGATGCTCATCCCATCATTACCACAGCCATGGCTCTCAAAAACAATGCGGAAGAAATTCCCGGATTTATGTGCCTGGACGGAGGATATGATAGATGATGTTTTTGGTGGCCCTGTAAAAGCCGAGGACGCCTTGCTACCAAATGGTGGGGACTCTACGAGTGCTGAACAGAAAGCCTACTTACCTTGGACGGCTCCGAACAATGGCGGCGCGGTTGGAGTAGGAAGCGTATTCCTATCTAGCATAGCCGACTCAATACCCATCGTTGGACAGCTGCGGAGAAATACGCGAATGAGGTTACACGGAGGCAAGACTCTCGATGATGAGCTACATAGTTCATCGTGGCATGGTATTGCAGCTATTGGCAGCATTGTTGCTGGCTTGGGGCTAGCTGTGGGATACATGTTTCAGCAGGGACTGATACCTTTGCCATTAGGCGAGGAACCTGTGAAGGAGAGAAATGCTAGCTTGGATACGTTTGGTGATGCGGGAGCCGCGCTGTCGGTATTTGCGATCCAGCTGGATGCCGAAGCACAACGACAGAGGATGGGGGAGAGCCACGGTGCTCCAGTAGCGGAGGTGGCCGTCGAGGCTGGACCCGGAGGAGTTACTGTTACTGATAATGTAGCTTGACCGAGGTGAGAGTCGAAATGAACACCACCTCATTTATCAAGGTTACCCGCATTTGTTGATTTGTCCAGGACTTCTTATGTCTCGGTCCCTAGCGGTACTGTCAGGTTATTTCCTCAAATCCCTTCAACAAAGAATGAGAAGTTTCCTTCAGGAGTAGCGAGATCTACGGAGATAACGGCATCATCCATCTTTCAAGCGAAAGCATAAACACAATTCCAGGTTGACGTGGTCTTCATTTCGCACAGCTTTCTGCAGCAATGACCCCGATGTCGGATATTGGTGTCCACGACCATTGATCGCCTTTCAGTATCCCCACTTCTCTGGTACCATTCTTCTGCTAAGTGGCTACCCTTTTTCATTTTGTTATCCCAGTTTTGTAAATTAATAGTATTTATTTGTTTGCTATCATGTGATATTCACTGTCAAATTGACTTCTGCTTTCCAGTATTCCTCTAATGATCGGCACACCTCCATGCTGTCTGGAATATCGCTCTGCTTTCCTAAAATTCAGGAATTTCGTACGAAGATTCTGTACGGGTGTTGAATTAGGATTACAGCTCATTTAATTATAGCCAGGTTTTGGGTTACACTTCTGTCGAATTAGGAAACAGTGCTTCCGGAGGGAATCATTTTTTCAATCTTGGGGAAGGAGTTATCTATGACCTTTTTCACTAGATAATATGGGTCGGTGAAGTCTAGACTCTCGTATCCTTTTCCCAAACTCCTCACCTTTATCTCTTGAACATACGGCACCACGTTGTTTTTCTAGCACTATTGATTCCTCCGTGGGACATACGGTAGTAAGGGTTCTGAACTAGCGCATAAGACCGAGAATGGGACGATGCATAATAGGATCTAAGATGATGCCTGGCCATCCCAAGGGGTTGACGCGATATGAAATTCCACATCGCCCACCAGCTGATGACTCTTCTACTCCTCAGAATCGCGAATCTATCATAGCCTTGGTATTCGAATACCGATTATTCGGAATCCTGCACAAGGGCGTACCTTAATTTCTCTATACCCTCTACGTCTCATCGAACTATGCATATGTTATACACGGTCAAGCAGTCGAAGGAATACAATGCTAATGGGATTTCTTTGCATCTGAGTCATAGCTTCCCGGGAAAGAGATCTAGCTCCATAGTGTAGTCAGCGGCCATTCAAACATTCCATCCGTCCTGATGAGTACCCCTACATCCGATTCTACGTCCATCTACGGAATATTACGGAGTATACAAGTGGCGAGTGGCGATCTCTACAAAACCATATTGGTAGAGGCCGTCATCGGGGATGAAGAAGCTATCCAAATGGCTTTCCTCCGAATCGTCGACGTTGTTGCTCATTCATTGCCATGGATGAAGATCTACCATAGAGAGATCGAGCCGGGAAATATCTTGGCTGGTAGTGCAGAGCTCTCGCTTGCTGATTTTGGCGCCGCGCATAAGGATTTCTATCCAGCAGGCCTGGCGATGGATTTATGCTGACCATTTTTCTTACTAGAATATTTGAGTTGGTCTCCCGCAGCACATCGGTTCAAGCCCGCAACAAACGACATCCGGTTCTTTGGTATCATTCTCATCAATCTAGAATCTTGCTGGCTACCATAGCCGAAATCCTCCTCGGAGACAGCTTTTATAGATGACTGGGGACGTTTGAAAGCCATGATATCAGATGAGCTGGTTGAGATCCTTGCTATGATATTGGAGCCTGATCTAGGGGAACGCATTGCCCTTTCTGAGCTTAGAGCGGTCATTGTCTAGTATTTCAACTAGTCATTCTAGGAAACTCCCTGGCTCTAGATCGATGAAGATAAAAACAGTATCCATCACAGATCCCATACCTCCATAGCTACTAATCAGATATCACTGACAGTACGTATGACTATGCAATTTTGATCACAACCTTCGAAAAATGCCTCTGCTCATCAATCCACCGATACGCATCCTGAACCTCCTCGATCTTAAAAATCCTCTCATCAACCACTGGCCTAAGATCCTTCTCCTCAATAAATTTCACCATATCCTCAATCTGCCGTTTCGAGCCCAGGACTATACCTCTGACCGAGCAAACTCTCCATACCGTATCCAGCAAGCTGGAAGGCTCTTTCGCTTTGCTTCCCAGCACGCCGGTCGCTGTCACTATCCCTTCTACGCGCACGGCTTTCAGGGATTCGGACAATGTGGAGAGGCCGCCGACATCGATCACGTTGGTCACACCGATGCTACTGGGCGTTAGAGATTTGGCGACCTCGCCCCAGTTGGGAGTTGTGTTGTAATTGATTGTGTGAGCTGCGCCGAGGGCCGAGAGACGGGCGGCTTTCGCTGCGCTGGATGTGGTGGAGATGATGGTTGCGCCGGCTGCGTGAGCAAACTGTTGAAATGCAAGTAAGCTACAATTAACCGACATAACATGCCCAAGAATTACAACCAAGAGAGTAAAGAACACGATACTATACTTTGCGTATCCTATACGGTACGGTACGTACCTGCAAAGCTGCAATCGAAACCCCGCCCGTCCCCTGCGTCAGCACAACATCTCCCTCCGCCACGGTCCTCCCGCCCCCAAACAACGCATTCCAAGCCGTCAAGCCCGAACAGCCCAGTGTAGCCGCCTCCTCGAACGTCAGATTCGCCGGCATGCGCACCAGTGCGCTCTCGTCAAAGACGCCGTACTCCCGCATCGTGCCATCGACCTGCTGTCCCAGGCCCCCGCACACCTCTGCCATGGTGGGGAAGGCAGAGGCGGGGAAGTGCGGCAACATGTGCATGAGTACCGTGTCGCCGGGAGTGAAGCATGTGACGGAGGGGCCGGTGGAGAGGATTGTGCCGGCGCCGTCGGAGCCGGGAACGACGTGCGGTGTTATCACTAGATTTCGTGTTCCCTGGGGCGTGTTATTTTATGATGGATGGGATGAGATGAGGTGGAGCGGGGTGGAGTGGGGTTATTAATGGATGGTAGCTAGGAGGGTAGGTATGCAGGTATTGGATTGCTGGATTTGATGGGGAGTAAATAAATACGTACTTTTGCAATAGCTACATCTCGATAATTCAGCGATGCGGCATGGATCTTTACCAGTACTTCATGTCCTGTCAGGTTTGTAGGAATTTTGGTTTCGAGGGCGACGAGGCTTGAGATGCCGGTTTGGGATGTGAGGTGCCATTGTTTGTAGTGTTTCGCGGTCATTCTGGGTATAGGTATTTTGGGTTTAGAATGTGTGGTTTTTGAGGGGAGGATTTTGGGGGGAGGGGGGGATATTGATTCTAGATGTATAGACGAATGTATTGATCTTGGTGTTTGAGTTTGAGTTGTAGTTATAGTCTTTCTTGCTGATAAATAGCGATCCAATTCTGTCGAGAATGGCCCCACTCCAATTCCCACCTTTCGGCCGGGGATGTGGGAGGGAGTGACGGGGCTTGATACCTGAACGTGGGGAAACCCTATCAGCTCGTTACTCCGTGCTGGCGAGGTTGAAATACGCGCTAGGATTGGTTTTAACAGGAAAGTCATGTCCTTTTATCTTCCGCTTGCTACTTAACTACCAAAGGCGGTGCCGAAACGGAAATGTAACATATGTACATGTATCTGACACCCACTAAACATCAAACATCCAAGATTTCCTAATAATTCACACAGATATTCAAGAAGTCTTTGATGCAGAAAAACCAATCGAATTGTACTAGTAGTCATTAGATACCACTCGAAATCTAATCTCTTTTGCGTAGTATTGCAATCTTAATAATGTCCTACAACTTTGCTCCCAACTCTTGGAAACAAGCGACTAGATCATCCGCTCGACGCTTTCCAGAACCTTCAGTTCAACCGCGTCGGGCAGTGCCGTTGACGTGGGTAGTGGTGGAGAGGAATACATTATCTTCGGAGACTTTTGTTATGTGATAGCTAGTCACGCCTGCACTCAAAGACAGCTCGTTTCCTAGAGTCTTGCTAAGCGTAAGGATGTCGGTCGGGTACAACGCCTTGGTGCTCAAAAGCGAACACCTCACCGCAGCGTCCATTGACACTTTGAGCATCGTCAACGATCCCGAGAATGCCTCGGCGGTCACAGTAGGCTTTCATTTCACTGCCACGAGATCGATCGATATGTATTTAGGGTGGCTACGAGGTGATTCCTAGGGATTTGTGAAATCATGAGAGATATATGCCTGGAGAAGGTCCTCTCTAAATGGGCCGTGGCCTTTGCAACCAGAGTGATATTGAGCAGACCTGGTGGACAGCGCCCCGTTTGTCATTCAATGCCAACTTGTAGCAAGACCATCCTTTCCAGTAAATACCTTAGCTAGCTTAATCGCGGCTCGTTCTTTTGTTCAACTCGTAGCTTTATACAATTCATCCGGAAGAATACTCGTCCACATTTTGGCTAGGTTGAAGACTAGAGATATCATGGCGCCGAGCAGATGATGCAGGTTCTTAGCGTGACCCGTGATGATCTGGACTTCTGGATGGCCATGACCCAATCAGACATGTTTCGAACTCTAGTCGAGGACTTTTCGTCCGGACGATGTGTAGATCAAGATGTCTTTGGTGTAGGTCTCTTTGCTGGATGTAGGACCAAAGTGTAGGAGGGAGCTACCGGTATCTGCAGCTGGCCTAGAAAGCACATAGCTGACAAAGATGAGGTACAATGCTCCGTCTATTATTGGTAACCTGGAGGAATCTCGGCCGTCTGTATGGAGGTGGAAGAAGTTGAGATTCTTCGGCTACGCCGACCGCCGTCGAGCGGCGTTGCATTGCATTGCATGGAGTGTCATACTGTGCAACCTCGCCATCGAAAGGTCGTGGTTTGATTCAGCCGATGGAAAATGCTGTGATAGAAGTTGAATAGTAGTTGAGGAGGACTTGATATAAAACAAGATGGGAAAGTTTCTCTACAAAGTTCAAGTTCTGGCACGTGATCTCACGGAGCTATGATTTAATGATCTCATCCTCCACCAGCTCCTCGAATCTGTTTGCGCCATCCTCCATTTAGAGACAAATATAGCTCTATCGAATTTTACAAGACGCAACAATGATACCTAATACCTCAAAGCGCACATTCAACGACTTCTCCGAAGCTAATAGCACTGGATCACCTCTATCGAATGTCCTTCCTTCCTCCAAGAGATCCCGCGCCGTGGAGCCAAACAAAGTTCTTTGGGATCAAATCTGCAAACTTCCTCCCCAGACAACACAGAAGGTCCTCTACGAAATATGCATGCAGAACCCTACTGCTTCTGCCTTTGTACAATCTGCAGACACTGCGCGCCTTTCCGAAGAATCAAATGAGCCTCCCGTGATCTTCGATTCCTATTCAAAGAGCTGTTGGCACACGCTCAATACCGATTATAAACGGCTATCGGGCAGCAAGCAATACGAAGCGATGGGCGAGATATATTCGAGGCTATCAAATAGCAGAGAGGCTATTATGAAGAAGGCTGGCCCAGATACACAGTGGGGGACGAGACGAAATGCGCTGGTAAATGTTCACTGAGCTACCAAGGCTGGTACGGAGTTATCAGGCCTTTGTACTGACTGGTTTGTAGGAGGTATTAAGAAAAATCTGCAAGAGCATCGTGCTTTGCAATGAGCAGCAGATTAGACACGAAATCCTGAAAGATGGGTATGTCCTAATGGGGTTCACAGATAGCATGCTCGAGCTGGCGACGTCTATGAGCCAGGAGGAGCGAGATGAATACAAACAGGAAGGACTTTACGAGAAGTTGGTTGAATTGCAAAGTGACTGCGATGACTGGGAGACAGATATGGGGGGTCTGGGGGAAATATACGAGCTGTTTGATGGTGTTGATGATGGGGAGGGGGATGAGGATGAGGAAGAGGAAGAGGATGAGGATGAGGCGAGTGATTCCTCTCAATCTGTTGTCGAGATTGCCTCTACCCTCGCTCCTGAGCCAGCGCCGCCACAGCGGAAAAGGGTGTTCAGCGTTATTGAATTATCATGAACATGCTGAAGCTTAAGGAAGTGTTGCATTTTCTACAGAGTACGGAGAACTTGTACTGCATTGAGTCACATCAGCATACAAGCTTGTTGCTTGAAGGCTGTTTTTAGTCAGGGTTACTGGGTTCAAGGAGGTCCTTGGAAAGTGAAGCCTACTGAGGTCGCACGTGTATGGCTTGCACATTGGATGAGATGAGATCTTCACGTAATGGGCGCTTATTCCGCTCTACCACGTCCAGCAGTCAGGTGGCCCCTTCTCTCCCCACCCTCCACAGTATGTGGTTGTACACTGGCCAACGCAAAATACTTGGGCTTAACAAGAGGAGGACCGATATTTTGGAGTGCTGGAGCTATGGCCTATGGCCCCTGGCTGTCTTGCTATTCAGCCGCCGGCGCCGGCCCACCTGTGTCTTCCCCCCTCCCCCGGCAGTTCTTTTTTTGTGGTTTTTTTCGAAAACCTTAATTCAACATACATGCTGTCTTACACACCCGGTATCCGAGACTGAATTAATCTTTCGGTTGTAAGAAAGTACCGAGTATAATTCGAGGGCGAATTTTGCGTTCTTATTAATATAGGGCTCGAAGGCACGATTTTACTCGCAGGATGCTCGAGCAATGGTTCATAAGCCATACCCGTACAATGTATCTACACATGATTCGTAAGCTATATATAATATAGTTGCACAGGCTGCAGCCCAGAGCTATTATTAAAGGCAGAAGAAATAAATGTGTGAGTCCCAAACTGGGCGTTGCACTGTCGTAAACCCCACCAAAGTCCGCCACGTTCCGGCACGGCCCAATCATCGATCCGAAGAATGTTGACTTTCCCTACTACAGTAGAGTCTGACAACCTAAAACTAAGCCTTACCTTATCGTAGCTCAGCCTTTGATGACACTCTCTTTCACCCGCAAAGCCGGTTGCATCCATCCCATACCTACGGCACTCGTACCTAATCCGCCTAGGCGTTTTGACTGCGAAAACTGTCTCCTACCACTCATCACCTATAAAGAAAAAGTTTCGATCGTGCAGACAGTCATCACAGTCTGTCTGACAGTCACCACGAGCACGCCGATGGAGACCACGTCTCCGGCCCACCCGGAAGGTCGGCACCGCCTCTCGTCTGACAAAAAAACCCGATTGTCGTGTGTGAACTGCAGGAAGAGGAAGGTATGCCCGTATATCCCCCCGCCCATATCGGCTAGAGCTGAGATCTCCAGATCAAATGCGATCGCAAAGAGCCCTATTGTACGCATTGCGAGAAGCATCAGGAGCTATGTCTCTATCCTGTAGAGAGAAAACGCGTTGTCCGGAGGTCGTAAGTCGAGCTAACCCTGTCATGTGAGCCGCCCAACTGAATAACGTGTTCTCTAAGTGCCTACAAAGACATGGCTCAGCGATTAGAGAAGATGGAACGTCTAATATCAGACTTTGCTCTGGAGCCGAAGAGCATTACTGATAGTACTTCGCCTCGTTCGGTCTCTGAAGGCAGCCCATCCGGCGGCTCGCCCAAAGACAAGCTCTCGAAAATGAGCCCAACAGACATTCTAGAGTCGATAGAAAGACCCGAGTGTGGATGGAAAACCACCGCTGGGGAAAGTGAATCTCCAGAGGAAACGACTCCAAGAGAGCCTTATAGAGGGGACCGATTGATGCCTCATCTACTGGATGCAGAAGATGGGGGTTATAATGGTATTTTTATATCAATTCGCCAGATGAAATCTCTTAAGCTTATCGCTGACCGGTACAGGGATGTCTATATTCTCGCGTTCGGGCGCTCAACACGTGAATCATATAATAGGCGATGAAAGCTTCAGTCAGATGCTCTCCACTTGGAAGCCTATGAAGAAAATCCGACAAGCGGATTTTGATACCTCTGTTCGACACCCTCTTCCCCCCCAGGACATCTTGATTGTGTGCCTCAAAGGTTTGTTTGCCCCGCCGTGTACCCGGCTATCACATCAATCTTCAGCTGATCTTATCTTTCTGTGCAGAATTTTTCGGCACTATAAACGTTGATATAACGGTATTCCAAGAGGATACTATCCTAAACGGAGTACAAGCGTACTCGAATAGAGCTTCCCACCCTGGAACCGCCCATTACGCTGCAGTCAACATGATCTTGGCTCACACTTCTCGCGCGAGGCCTGAAATCGCGAGGCTAATAGGAGCCGGGAACTCTGATAACTATCTCTATAATGCAATGAGTGTCATGCCCAGTCTTTTGCTGCAACAGCCAAATGAGTTGAGTATAGGCGCGCTGTTATCCATGGTAAGTCACGTAACCCCAAATGAAAAACTTTTGCTGAACATTTAGGCCATGTATTTCCTGTTTTACTTTGAAAATGAAATTGCTGTGAGCATCCTGGGCTCCGTCATGCAGCAAATGTTGCTTTCCGGCTACCATATCAGCAGGCGACTTCCAGCGGTTTCCGAAACTCAGTGGCTGCATCGACGTAGGCTTTTCTGGCACGCCTACTGTTTCGACAATGACCTCGCATTGCGACTTGGCAAGCCCCCAATTATTAATGATAGTCAAATTGTTGACTTGCCTGACGAAATTTCGATTGACGGCCGAGACATGAGAAGTTTTAACGGTCAATCTTTCAACTTTCTCAGGGCATCCGTCTCCATGGCCAAACTTCAGAATAAAACATACACCCTCCTTTATTCTGACAAACGTGCAAGTCAGCCAGCCGAAGAACTCTACGCCAGTATTGACGAACTTGACGAGAAACTTCAAGGGTGGAAGGAAAATATCCCTGAAATCTACAAACCTCAAAACCTGTTGAGCCATTCTGATTACAGTCCCCTGATTTGCATTACTGTTCTTCATTATACCTACTACCAGTTGACAATCGCCATTCATGCCGTGGTATTTGGTGGCATTGGATCAAATCGGTGCGTGAGTGATGCTGCACCACCGGAGAGAATCATGTCAAGCGTGGCTTTGTGCGTTGGAGCTGCTCGGGCGTCAATCTCGCTGCTCAATTATCATGACAATACCCATCCTTTCACAGTGTAAGTCTCGATTCCGCATCGCATAGAGTATCCTTACTGACTTTAAAGTTTTCTCATAAACCACGTCTCTTGGAGTGTCGATATCCTATTCATGAACATCCTTCACAATAAAGCAAGTCCTCGAGTCTATGAGGATCTCGAATTATTAGAGATGATTCTCAAATTCTACGAGAAGTATGATTCGAATCGCGCAAATACCACGTCCTATCAAATTACCAGAGCGCTGTATCACATTGCGTCCAGAGCTGTCAGGATTGCCCAGGGTCAAGCCCAGGTCCCGGCTGACCAGAATACATTGCCACCGTCTGCTGGCTTCCAAGATGTGGCTGCCCCACCATTACCCAAACCGCCAGCGGCTTATTCAACGAGCGTAGCCGCTCCCATACAAGAGCAGATACGTGTGCCACCAAATGTAGACCAATTGCCTTGGCCTACTAACAATGGGTTGGAAAATATGACATACCTAAATCGCGAATGGATAATGCCAATGGGCTTTCAGCCAGAGTACTGGCAAGATCCGTGGGCAAATGTCTTTCAGGATCCCGATATGTCAGATCTGAGCTTGCAATCAGGAGAAATCCAACAAGGACTGTGACATGTCTTCAATCCTGCTCTTGAGTTGCGGCTTTATATTGCTAACACGTGACTCCAAATCATCATGTGCTGGATTCTCAACAAATCAAATCAGAAAGAAGTAAGATATGCATCGAAAGTGCCGCTTGGAATGCCGGTTGCGCATTAGCTGGCGAACTGCCGGAAGCTCCCGACCCCGACCTGCCGCGACTTAACGTGGCCTCATTTCTCACGCATCGTATGATTCTGACCCCTCAACCCCAAACACACTCCACAACGTCAACATCACCTGACTTAAAAGCTGTACAATATATCTACGACATTTCCTTCCTTCGCAATACCAGACACGAACAATAAATCTTCACTCAACCGAACAAAGTATTTCATTCCAAAAAAAATAAGCGCAGTCAAATCAATCACACACACAATAATGCCAGCTCTCAGACAAAAAGTGGCCCTCACAGCCCTCGCAGGCGTCGGCGCTCTCGTCGCAATCAACACGCTCACGAAACCATCGAAAACACAATCGATCGCCAATGGCATGAGGAGGCAGTTGGATGATTACAATTCTGATATTCATCCGGACTCCAACGAAGAGAGTCTCAAGTATGCCTCCCCCCGCTCCCATGCCCCTGATTATATCTTTTTTATCGAGGAGAACTGATGGGTGGGGTCGGGTAGAGATTCGAGATTTGATGGTGCGGCATTGGGGGATGCAGAGAGGAAGCCTTGATTCCGGCTGGACTGGGCTGGTTGCTGGGCATTGCAGGCGCGGGGCATAAGGGATGGCGTTTTGGGTTTTTTTTTTTAGGGAATGTGCACGAGAAATCGCTGGCTTGGTCTTCCAATGAAAGCCGTGACCGTGTTCTGTTGCTGTATGTGCATTTACGGCGGCATCAAAAATACCACTTTGAATATCTGACTACGAGAATCGCATCGTTTCTTCCATCTTCGACTGCTCCGGTATGGTATTTCTCTTTTTACCTGTTCAGTCTGGACTCTCAAGTGAGGAGATATCATCGTCCAACCATTACGTGCCTATTCTCATGTTATCATCGCTTTCAGGCTCCCAGGTTTACATCTTCGTATGTTACCTCAGGGGGCAACAATTCGTAAAGTCCTATGTATACCTATGGGCTTTAAAAAACATATTTCGCGCAATGCACGTGTTTGCAAGCACGTTCTTGGAGACTCAACTTCGCATCTCTGACAAGGTTCCTCCTATAAAATTTTCATTCACACAGTTACTGCATTTCCTATAACGAACAACACCCTATTATTACCAAATCACAGCACAAAGATGTTTGATTCCTCGGGAGCACACGCATATTCCAGGCCCAATTGAAACTCCCTATTTCTCATGAATGGGAGTTAGAAATATATACCCCGAATTAACATCGAACAACGAGAGCACTAGACCTTGGGGGGCAATCTTGAATACCATTCTTACAAGCAACATACCAGGATGCTAATCTATTGCCAGCCCTTACCTGGCTATTTGTTTAGTAACCATAATGTTAACTCTATTAAAAAGGCGGCGCACTCGCACTTCTCGAGCTAGAGCGTTCCCTCAGCATTTCCTGTACCTCCTTCAATACCCTCTCCATCTCTGGCATTAGCTCTGGAAGCCGAAAGGGCTTCACGACTGCACTATCCATACCCGCCTCCTTCGCTATCCTGATCTGCTCGCTGCGTGCATTCGCCGTAACAGTGATCACAGGAATATGCCCCTTTACATGACCCGTTCTCTATAGCTCTCGAATCGTCTTCACACAGGTGAGTCCGTCCATGACGGGCATCTCTACGTCCATGAGGACAATGTGGAGAGGAACGGTGTTGGGGGGAAAGAAATGAGTTGTTTCAAGGAACGTTAGAGCTTGACGGCCATGATTCGCAACGCTCACAACGCATCCCGCATTACGCAGTTGTTTAGAAAGGACTTTCTCATTCACGAGATTATCTTCAACAATCAGGACGTGCATCGAGCCGCCGGCTATTTTCGTTTTCTCATCGGGATTTGATTCAAGGGACAGGCCCGTTCCAATTCGGTCCATTGTCGCGGGCGTTTGGATAGAATCATGGGAGCGCGAGTCCTGTGGCAATTCTGGACTCTTATTCCGAGCAGGGCAACGATGAGTTCGTACGTAGAAAGCAAAAGTGCTTCTAACACCTGCTTTAGATGCTACTCCTATTTGCCCGCCTTGGATTTCTGTCAGTTGGCGAGAAACAAAGAGGCCAAGGCCACTACCACCGTATTCCACGTGTGTTCGTGGTGTAGCCTGTGAGAAGCGCTTGAAAAGAAGGTCGCGTTCCGTTTCGTCTAAACCTCTGCCAGAATCGTTGACTGCGATGGAGAGGTAGATGACTTCGCCTGAGTCATAATCGGTAGTCTGACCTTTATATGCCGCGTTTCGCGGGAGATACTGGATACCATCATTCTCTTTCGGTGGTCGTTCGAGGGAAGCTCCCAAGTATACAGCAATCTTCCTTCTGCTTTCGGTCTGCGTAAATTTGATGGCATTGGTCATCAAATTTATTAAGATTTGAAGTAATCTGCTTGGATCGACGTTCACCCAATCGACTGATATCTCACGATAGGAAGGCTCAATAAGGAATTGAAGCTCTATCCGACTTTTCTGTAACTGGCCGTCAAACATCTTGAGTGCACTTTTGATTACAGCAATCGGTTGAACTTAGACGGGGGAGATAGAAAGAAGATCGGAATCCAGTTTCGAGGCCGTCAAAACATCTTCCACTATTCGCTTTTGATGTTGGGCGCACAATTGAATTGTTTGTGCTGCATCGGCATACTCATCTAACATCTCTCTAGGTAGTAAGACATCCTTGGAATTCCCTTTGAAGGCTAAGACAGAAGTCTGAATCCACTGCAAAGAATTAGTGTTATGCTTTTAGTAAAGTGTAAGGGCCAAGAATTAGCAAAACGAAGAAAGGTAGGCGAAGAAAAGGGTTGGCAACATCAGCACATTGTACAATTGCGGAAAGAGGATTCCTCATCTCACTAGTGAAAGGTCTCATTAGTAGCTGAGACTCGTTATGAATAGGGACATACTGGGACGTCATGTCAATAAAGTTTTCTTGCTGCCGCTTCCATTCAATAGCCTCGAGCATCTTTCGCTTCTGAACTCCTTCTGCCCATTTCTGTCGGCTGATGTCAGTTATACAACCAAGAATTCCAACCATATTGCCGTCTGGGTCCTTCTCGGCATAAGCAGCCACAATAATCCATGTTGAACCTTCTACGTTCTCGCCACAAATAATTTCGTCAGCGACGAATGGCCGTTTTAGTCGTAGCTCAAAGGAAATCTTTTCTCCGTCCCAGAGTTTAGGCCATTCACGGTTCATCTCAGCGTGGTCTTCTTCCATGATGATCTTATACCAGCACTGCCATGCAGTTCAGTAATGACTTACATGAGGTGCTTTACAGTGACTTACCATTATAGAAGTTACATCCCGAGGATGTTCAGTGAGCCTGCAAAAGTGAGAAGGTTAGCAAATATAAGAACAAACCCAGCAAGGAAATACCTGTAGTAATATTCATTGGCGTATAACACGACGCCGGAAGGGTCGAAATGAAACATTCCCACCGGTGCATGATCGGCCATCCTTCGGAAGCGACTTTCGACCTCTGAAGTTTCGTGTGCTTGAATTGCCAACTTCTTTGACAGAATATTCCAATCTTGAGTTGCATATTCCGCGGCCATTTTGCTTCTGCTGATTTCTACCTCGAGCAAAATGGCGGCCTAAATCTCATCAGTGGTTTTCGCCTCAAGATTGATTCTGTTCGCTCAAAGCTTACAGCCATTGAAGTTGCTAATTGCCTTCTTAGAAGCTCGATGAAAACACGGTAGTCATCATCAAATCGTTGCCTTAGATTAGTACCGAGAATCAAGAATCCACGGATGTAATCTCCAGTCAACCGGATCGGCAAGAACGCCGCAGCCTTATAGCTATCAACGTTATTCGCTGATTTCAAATTCTGTACTAGAGACTGGGGCATAAACCCATCACTTGCTAAAAGAAGCGTGTGCGTATCTGAATTAATCATCTCCTGAAAAGCCGGCAAGAAAACCTCAATAGGTTCATCGTTGCTGTAATGTCTAGGAAATTGGACATGTGGCTCGGGAACCCCTACTATGCCTCTAAGGACCCAATCATCCAAGGTCTGCTTTGGGCGATCAAGAGGGCTCTCGTTGCTTTCCCAGCCCGAGGAATATAATAGCGCGAAGGGAATGTCGGCGTTCTCGGTTTGTAGGACTCGGAGTAGTTGTCGCCAGAAATCATCCACCGCCCGCGCGGAAGCAATATATTGAGACAAGAGATGAAGAAATGCCATTCTTCGATCCATGATCACCTTTTTCGTTGTATCAAATACTGCATTATAGCTGGATCTCGTTTAGACACATGGAACGTAAAGCCGCCTCCAACACAATCAACACGAAAAGAAGGCCGAGCAAAGGAAGACTTACAAAGCTATCCGCCCATCATTGGTAGAGAAGGGTATAACCGATAAAGAGCAGTGACACTCTTCGAGATACCCGTCTCTCGCAACGTAGAAGCAAGCGTCATCTCTAACCAATGATGTTCCGGTTTCAGCAGCCTTGACGAATGTTGAAACGAAGTCTTCATGCATTTCTGACCAAGCTTCGGGAAAGAACTTTCCCATCAAGCCAGGGTGTTTCTCACCAGCCACGAGTATAAACGGCTCGTTATACATCATAGTTCTTGATTCGACCCAGTACATCGCGGCCGGACGAGGATCATTCAGCAAAATATTCATCATGCGACATAAATCCGTGGACCAAGAGCTGATGGCACCCAGCTCGGTGGAAGCCCAGTCGAAACCCATGAAAGAATCGAGGTGGGGACAGAATGATTCCTTGGACTTGTGTTTCGTGACATCGAACGAACCACAATGCTCGGTGGTATGCTGCTGTGAAACATGGTCCTCGGATGAAGTCTGTCTCTGAGAACGCAACAGAAATGTAGGAATACTTTCATCGGAATGCGATTTCAAAGCTATCAATCGTTGGGGAGTTTCCTGGGATGCAGGGTATGCTTTTATCTTTAGTGGAGGTCGTTCTGGTGGTTTCTGTGGAGGAGCCTGAGCTTGGCTTTGATTGGGTTCAGGTCCTTTCTGTGGAGGAATTGGAGTCTGATTTTGGTAGGACCACTCAGCCTGACATGTATCGTCTCGCGGCAGACTGTCCATCTCTCCCACAATGATTCTCCACCTATTCCTCACATTTCTGCCCGTCCATTGAATCCCCCAGTATTCCGAAGGGGGTAAAGTCGAAGCTTGCGGTGAAGAGACTGCCCACTGCAGAAATGAAGCAACCGTTGGATTGGTCCTTGCTTCTCTCCACCCAATCTTCAACTGATCCCCGCCAATAGCATGCAGTTTCTGAAGCCTGGCGGTTTCGAAAACAGGCGTGCAAGTCGAGGACAAAGATTGGTAGGTCGATTGCGGCGAGGAATTCGAATGGCCCGAGTGAATCCAGGTCATCGTTGACCATATTTTCGGAATAGTGATGAGTTGTAGGAAATGGTCAGAGATGAGAAATGAGAAAAGGTTTCGCTCGCGTACCATGGGTGCAAATGCATGTACAGTCGGGGCTCTCCTTCCCCTTCTGTCACCACCAGTGGCCACCTTGAATAAAGTCTATTTCCACGTCGCATTATTTTCAAAGTAGGACCGTGAAGGTTCTTTTGGCTTCGTATGTCAGAAGAACGAACCGCACTTGCGCTGCAATATTCCATGCCGCAGGACCTAAGAAAACGTGATACGAGGGGAACATTGGCTCAGCGTGAACTTGAGCGTTTCTATAGTTTGAAATGCATACATGTGCTAGCAAAACCTGACTTATATTCATGTACTGATCTCTCCGACCTAAAGGAGAGCCACCGCGGATATCTATTAAAACTAAAATTTAGCTACCCGCCGCAACTAAGGAGAATTGAGTATCTTCATAGTACATACCTACACAATATACACACACTTCTCCCTTTTCTTCACCTTTTAATCCTCCTCCAAGCTATCAGACCCCCCACTAAAATCGGGCACCCAAACACGCCTACCAACCAAAAGCTTAACAACCGCCCCTGCCTCTCACTCTTCCTAATCACCTCGCTATACCTCTCATTCCCAAAGCTGACCCTCGAGTACTTTGTCTGCCACCCCAGGCCCGGCACCCACACACTCAGCTTCTCTTCGAGCCACTTCCTGGCCGCATATAGCGGGCTCACAACACTAGCGCGCATCTCGACATAGTTCTGCAATGCGAGGTCATTGATAACGTGCGTGTCTGCTTTTCGGTACTGGGAATATTGTTCTAGAGCAACAGAACGGGAAGTGGGGTTTGCGTCGAGGAAGGAGAAGAGCACGGTGATGTCTTCCAGGCCTGCGTTCATGCCTTGCCCGTAGAAGGGCACCATGGCGTGGGCGGCGTCGCCGACGATTACGACGGAGGAGGAGAAGTGGTGGGGTGCGCATTTTATGCTTATTAGGGGGAGGTGAGGGTTTTCGTGGAAAGATGCGATGAGGTCCGAGGGCTGAATGAGGGTCGTTACGCCGGGGAAGTGGGTGTCGAAGAAGGCAGGGACTGAATTTAGATCTGTTTCGAGTTGATTGAAGTGTGCGGATGGCAAAAAGAGAGTACATGTGAATGATCCGTTCTGAAAGTTATTAGACTGTGTTGGTGATGTGGGATAAGGAACTCACGGAGCTGGGTATGGCGATGAACATGAAGTCCTTCCCTGGCCAGATATGGAGATGGTTTGGGGATATGCGGAACTTCGACTCATCCTTTATACCTAGCTCTAACTCCCGAGCTGGAATCTGGAACTCACACCAAAGTGTATCGATGTACTCTTGCTGATAATTCATTCGCTGGTACTTCATTAGGTGATACCGGGCAGCTGAATGAGCTCCATCTGCTCCGATCATGAAGTCAAAATCGATTTCAATTTCTCGGTTGCGATCAGTTTTGTTACTCCCAGAGACTTCAAACCATGCTTTGTTTTTCTTAAAGTCAGCTCCAGTCAACTTGTGGTTAAAAATGAGTTTCACGTTAGGCATAGCGTCTAATTCGTCGAGGAGAGTTTTGTTGAGTCCCCCTCGGTCTACCGCATATATTGCCTACGAAACGTAAGCCCCGACATACGAATAGATGATAGACATACTCTTCCGTGGATATCGTAGACTTGAGACTGTTCATACAGCTCTCCTGAAGAATGCTTGCCATGAATCATACGACCTTTCATGGGAATCGTATCTTTGAATATTTGCTCTAGAAGGGCAGGCCGACCAGAATTCCTCATAGCATTGATTCCTCGTTCAGATAGTGCCAAATTGATGGATTTAGTAAAGTTTAGAGGTATCGTTGAGGGGTCTCGAAGATCTAGATGGCTCAGGTCAGCTGATGGACGAACAGATATCATAGGGCAAAAGACATGAATCGAAGACATGTTAAGCAAAGGGAGCACAATCTTCTGCATACCTCAGAATAGAGGCCATCTAGCACTACAGATTGTAGATAAACATACGAAAATCGAGGTCCTGACTCAATTGCCACTACTATGTTGGTATTTCGAAGATGCAGGTAGACCACCCCATTTACCTTCATTCAAAACCTGACGTGATCTACGATAAGGAATGGTTTCAAAGACACTTGACTTGTTGCCTCCCCAGGGAAGGATTTGCTGCAAGAAACAGACGCTGTAGTGAAAACTTATGGAACGTACCACTGCGTAAATCATAAATCTCTACATCGTGACCCCGCTGTGCTGCGTACAAAGCCGCTAGGGTACCAACCGGACCAGCTCCAATAACAATCGTCTTCTGTTTCTTGCTTTCCGCCATCAAAAATAATCTCAATCGATTTATTCGGGAAGAGGGAAAGGTGCAAAGAAGAAAAGAAGAGAAACATAAACATGGATGACTATTACAAACAGCTACAGCTCTAAGCTGCTGAGCCGAGCCGACCGATAGATTCACACCCAGCTTGATTCTAGAAACCGCCTCGCCCCACGCCTTGAGAACGATGCGTGGGCGGCTAACTTTCTTTCAACAATCTTTTTACCAGTTGCCCCGCCATACCGTATCAAGAAGAAAGATACACCAAGAAGCACTTGCATGGTTTAACAACACTCTTTTAACATCACACCTACAGAATACCACCACCAGCTCCGCAAAGCCGTCTGCCAACAATGGTCTCCGAGTCTCCTGCAAAGCGGAAATGCCTGGGGGGTGACTGCGACAACGATGCTGGAACGCTCCAGTGTCCGACCTGCCTGAAGCTAGGCATGAAGGAGAGCTATTTTTGTTCCCAAGACTGTTTCAAGAGGAATTGGGTAAGTTCACTCCAAGACCGCTTTCCTTTCCAAGCCGTATTTGTGCCCTATGAGGAAACCCAACTTGCGCGTTATGCTCTACCTTCTCTTGGTCCAAAACTAACTCTTCATAGAGCACACATAAAGCAGTCCATAAAACTCAGAGTAATTTCCTCAGTAACCTCATTCCCCCAAAAGTAGTTTCTGAACCCGATCCAGTCACTGGAAACTACAACCCCTTCCCAACTTTCCCATTCACCGGTTCTCTCCGCCCCGTGTATCCTCTGTCCCCTCGGCGGGAAGTACCGAAATCAATACCATACCCCGATTACTGGAAGACTGGCATACCAGATAGTGAGCAGACGTTCAAGGGCCGTACGAAGATTGAGATTCTGGATAAGAAACAGCAAGAGGGTATGAGGAAGGTTGGCAGGCTAGCGAGAGAGGTGTTGGATATTGCGGCTGCGGCGGCGGTCCCTGGGGTTACGACGGACTATCTTGATGAGATTGTGCATAAGGCTTGTCTGGAGAGAAAGGTTGGTTCTTTGAACGGAGTAATGTCCAGGAACTGACATGCCCAGTCCTATCCATCACCATTGAACTACGGTCAATTCCCAAAGTCCGTCTGTACATCCCCGAACGAAGTCATCTGCCACGGAATCCCAGATCAAAGGGTTCTTGTCGATGGTGATATTCTCAATATCGACGTTACACTATACCATGAAGGCTTCCACGGAGATCTCAACGAGACATACTACATTGGGGACAAAGCCAAAGCAGACCCCGACTCGGTCCGTGTCGTAGAAGCCGCGCGAGAAAGTCTAAATGAGGCCATCAAGCTCGTCAAACCCGGAGCATTATTCCGAGACTATGGAGACGTGATAGAGAAGTATGCTAAGGCGAAGCAGTGTAGCGTCATCAAAGCATACTGTGGTCACGGTATCAACAGTTTGTTTCATGGCAAGCCTAACATTCCGCATTATGGTAAAAACAAGGCCGTGGGTGCTGCCAAAGAGGGCATGTGTTTTACTATTGAGCCTATGATTGCGTTGGGTACGCATAGGGATAAGACTTGGCCTGATGACTGGACGAGTGTGACGCAGGATGGGAAGAGGACAGCTCAGTTTGGTAAGTTTGTGATGCATCTCTCTAGATAAATTTACTAATCCTGCGACAGAGCATACTCTCCTGGTAACGGAAGACGGCGTTGAGATTTTGACTGCGAGATTTCCTGATTCTCCAGGTGGACCTATTCCTATGCCAGTAGCAGCGGTGGAGACGAATGGTGGGAATGGTGTGCAGTGCGACGGAAAATCATGACCTTGAATTACAAAACGTATCTGGCGAACTGTAGAAATACCCCCTCACTTAAAAAATCAAAACAAAATCTACATGAAGTCAAATCTGAACAGTAACATAAACAATAAATGTGTTGATTTCCCCCTTAAGTCCGTGCATATGGTATGACTAAGCGGACATCGCAAGCGCAACTGAGCGGTGCAAGCAAGATCTTCGTCTAAACAATCGCAGAGCTCTTGTTTCTTCCCCACGCGAGCCCCAGCCTCACATTTCATCATTCCGCTTGCGACCTCCGACCTTCCAAAACCCTCAGAAAACTGATACCGCGTACCCTCTTCCTCTTTGTCTCTCGCCCAGGATAGAGCTTTGCACAGCAGCCAAGCCCGAGATTTCTCCTCGTCATAGCCCCCTAAGCTCACTACCGTACACCACCCACCGAGTCTGCGATACGATACCAGGGCAAGCTTCAACAGGCTCGACATACGTCTGAGCAAGGCTAGTACAACGTCGAAAATAGGCAGATAGACGCGAGACTACAACCATGATGTCCGGCGAGGCGTGGCTGTACCTCCTAGCGGTATTGATCAATGCCGTGAATCTGTTCCTGCAGGTTTTCTTTACGATTATGTATTCTGATCTTGAATGGTATATTATCCTCCCCTTTCCAGCCTCTCTCCCCATCTCTACTCCTTTTATCCATAAAATTAAAAGTACAGGAAGCTGATCAATGTGCGAATAGTGATTACATCAACCCTATCGACCTTTGCAACCGCCTCAACACCTATATCATCCCCGAAGCCGCCGTACATGGCTTCCTAACGTTCCTCTTCCTTATTAATGGATATTGGATTGCGTTGTTGTTGAATCTGCCGTTGCTTGCATTCAATGTTAAGAAGTGCGTCCTTATCTCTATCCCTCTTCTACCAGCCCCCCTCTTTCATCATTCCCCGCTTAGTTGGAGCTTTTACTGATCGGATACATGAATAGGATTGTGGATAATGCGCATCTCCTAGATGCTACCGAGATCTTTAGAAAGCTGAATGTGCATAAGAAGGCATGTGTCATGGAGGGTGGGATGAAAGATAAGACTAACAGAGAAATAGGAATCGTTCATCAAGCTTGGTTTTCATCTGGTTATGTTCTTCTTCTACCTCTACTCGATGATTGTGGCCTTAATCCGCGACGAATCGAATTGACTTAAATCCTCAATACACCGTCAATACAAGCTAGGGGAAATATAGGAGGAGATTCGAGGTTTGAATGAGATGGGAAAGCTGGAATTGCGCAGCGTGGAGTTGTGAATAAGATGAGATACGTTGGGCAGGATAATTACTACTTGTGCAAGATCTGGGACGATTAAACATGATGGCGGCTGGTCTGGGGGGAGTCGTGCAACGGGGCGTGGGGCATATTCCATATTTTGGGCTTCTGATCGAGGTCTTGCGTGGATAGATACAGATACCTGATGCCTAGGTAGGCGTGCTTGCCGTAGATGGGCATGCTTTCAATGCAGATGCTTTTATTGTTCATCCCTTGTGCTCTTTTGCTCGGATGCCGCGCCTCCAAACTCATTCACTCACCCAACCTTGAGCTCCAAAAGCTCAATCTAGTAACTCCGAGAGGATAGTAGCACGTGACTAAAATGCAGGGATATATTTTAAGGTTGACGCTAAACTTTTCATCGTGAACCGCATCGGGTCTCGAAACTTGCGACAAACTGACCTTCATTAAGTGCTCATTTTCAGGCGCACATCAAACCACAACCTCTCTCCATCGCCCTGAAATTCCTCATCATGGCAGACTTCGGCGCCTACCCGCCCAACATGGCGCCCCAAAACGCCCTAATAGTCCGACAAGCAGCAGGCCCAGATCACGCCGTCGTCCCCTACACAGCGGGAGATCTCTCGCGGCCCTCTCAAGGTCCCGCCAACCCTTTCAAAGACGAAAAAGCTACTCTGAAACGCAAGAATGTGCTTACAGGCTATGCGGAGGAAACATATATAAGCGAACATGCCTTCAGGAGTCAACATCAAGCTGTGGAGGGGAGAAAGTATATAGGAGGACAGGCGGAGAAAGACGAGGCGGCAAGGATAAGAAGTAAGAGGCAGAAGAAGGGAGATGCGAGTGTGGCGGAGGGCGATAATGCTTATGTAGGCCCGTGGGCTAAATACAAAGCTGTGGAGTATGAGGAAGTTGGCGAAGGGGAGGAGTTGGCTAGTGATGAGGAGTACGAGGAGGTTGAGGAAGAAGAGGAGGTTATTGAGAGCGGTGCTGTGGTGCCCGCATTACCGCAAGCTGTGGCGCGGAGGAAAGAAGCTGAAGAGATAGGCGCAGAAACTAGTGTGTTCGAGGGGAGCGAGCAGTATGATTATCAGGGAAGGACATACATGCATGTCCCGCAAGACCTGGATATCGATCTACGGAAAGAGGCGGGGAGCGCGAAGAATTATGTGCCCAAAAAATTGGTGCATACTTGGAAGAGTCATACAAAGCCCATTGCCGGCCTACGGTTCTTTCCTGGCTCAGGCCATTTACTGTTATCTGGAAGCGCGGATTCGACGGTTAAGATCTGGGATGTGTATCACCAAAGAGAGTTACTACGGACATATTCAGGTCACACGAAAGCCCTTTCAGATTTAACATTCAACACCTCCGGCACACAATTCCTCTCCGCATCCTACGACCGCATGATGAAGCTCTGGGACACTGAAACAGGCCAATGCATAAACCGCTTCACAACCGGCAAGAACCCGCACGTCGTGCGCTTCAACCCAAGCCCCGAGCATTCCAACGAGTTCCTCGCTGGTATGTCCGACAAGAAAATCGTGCAGTTCGATATACGGACTCGCGAAATAGTCCAGGAATACGATCATCATTTGGCCGCTATCAACACGATTACGTTCGTGGATGAGAACCGCAGGTTTATGACAACGTCCGACGATAAGTCTCTCCGCGCATGGGATTACAACATCCCCGTGCCCATAAAATACATCGCAGAACCACACATGTACCCCATGACACGGGCCTCGCTACACCCTTCGGGCAAATACGTCGCCTACCAAAGTTCCGACAACAACATCTTCGTATACGGCGCGACGGACAAGTTCCGGCAGAATCGCAAGAAGGTGTTCAAGGGACATAATAATGCCGGATATGGGATTGATGTGTCGTGTTCGCCGGATGGGCAGTTTGTAGCGAGCGGGGATACGGGGGGTTATGTGTGCTTTTGGGACTGGAAGACGTGTAAGATGTGGCATAAGATGCAGGCTGCTGATGGGGCCGTTACGTGCGTGGAGTGGCACCCGCAGGAGAGTAGTAAAGTTGTTACGGCGGGGTTGGATGGCGCGATTAAGTATTGGGATTAGAGGTTACCTTCCCACAACATACCCTGTTGTATTTATTATATTGTGTGGGAATTCCAAAAGCGAATATTCTCTCATATCTTTCCTCGTATCAGGTTTGTTTCATCTGCGGTTTTTCTTTCCCTATGACAAGCAAGTGCCGTACTTCTTCACTGCTCCCTTTATCCAAAGTCATCTTCTTCCTTCATACCAAACAGCCATATATTCCCCGTCGATTCATCGATTAACCCACTCTTGCTCTTACGTCAACCCCATCATAATATATTCAACATTCCAATTTTGACGCTATGAGAATAAAACCCATCCATCATCTATCTATCCTTGGCTGTCCAAACCCCCATTTCTTACAGCAAAATCCTGCTTATCATGAGAATGATTTAACATGGCATGCTGACTTAAGGTCACTGGAGGAGTAATTGGGAGCAGCGATAGGGTTTAAGAGCGTTTGGGTCAAAATGTGGGGCAGAATTATTGAGGGTGAGGAGGTTTGCTTTGGAAGATTCATCAGTGCCACGTAAAAAGCCCGTTTGTTTGCCTGTTAGTCATTCACTCATTCAATCAGTCATAAATAAGATGGGATGGGATTATGATTCTTCAACATGCAAATTCAGATTCATTCATTTGGTGCAAATAAAAACGGGCTTATTCTCTTCTAATGAACATTAATTATATTACATCCAAACCTTCAAACCTTTAATCCATATTTCGGTCCACGGTTTCCTTTTCATTCCGAATTATAGGTATCTTCCATCCATCTATTCACTGTCCCATTCCAGATCAAAGGAACGAGCATGCCACAGAACCAGAACACAGCCATCGAAATGCATTCCATAATACTACAAATACAACTCCTTATCCTCGCTTGTCTCAGGTCTCAGAAATGCTCGTACAGCGAAGGACACAGAAGCATGATCAAGGAGCATCCCGATCCCGATGGTGACGGACGGCCAAAACCGCAAGGACCACGCCCTATGCCTGGGAAACCGGCACCGACACCTGATGGGCCGCGGCCGAAACCACAGGGGCCGAGACCGATGCCTAGGTAGAAAGAATAGGAGGAAGTAGAAGACGGGAAACGGGGCGGAGATTGATGTACATATTGTTTTTGGAGGAGGAGTGTTTGTGTTATGGTTTGGTCAGAGGAATTTTAGGGGAATGGGTAGGTTATTTACGAGTTTGGTTCAGCACTGGAGAAATGGGAAATGGTAAATTGGGTTACAGGAATTCTATTTCCGCACTCTCTTTTCTTGTCTTGTTATATTCTTTTGCAATTGTATTATAAACTGTACGATATGTCTTTCCCTCATCTTGCTTACATTTATAGTTTTTCCTTGCTGCCGGCGTAGAGATAGAGATGGGTGGTAGAGTGTCGTTTTGTTTATGGCTTTGGTCGGATCTGATCTCATAGTCGAGATCTTTTTCAACTTTTTCATTCATCATTCTCAGCAAGCCAAGAAGTTAAGCAAAAAAGTGACCGCAACTTTTTGCTGATAGTATTACCAGCGCTAGCCATGTTATTTTTTGACTTTGGTTAGTCACAGTAAGTGAAGAAGGTGCGCAAGCCACAAAGTACCCAGTTGGACGACACCACGCATATATATTTGCTTTGAAGCTTTCAGTTGGTCCCAATATGAAATCTATTGTACTATACATTTCAAATCAGCTATTCATTGGTTCAGACCTCGGAATCACTTGGAATTCGAAGCTATTCTCCGAAAGAATGGAATCTTCTCTTTTGATACAAGATAATGCCCTTAACGATTAATACTATTTCCCACGTTGATTTTGGGGCATCCTATACCAACATCCCTAGATGTCACTTTTTGACGGTGGTTATCGCTAATGACGATGTTATGACTAATCGGCTTCTCTTTCACCTTCCTGGCTACGACAATACTGACAACTGTTGTTTTGCATTAATTTTCAGGCATAATGGAAGATCTGATGCAAATGCTAAGATTGAATAAGTTACGAAGAATATCGTGTCTTGATCGAGCTGGTTATTTAGCGAGATCAGGAACAGATCACATGTCGTTCAGCATACAACAGTATAAAGAAGTATTGTAAAGCTTTTACTAGGCCTCGTTGAATTCATTGCTATATGCGCGTGCCGGAAAGACTTGCCTATTTGGATGCTTTCCAGGCCGTAAATAATATGCATGGGGTACTGTACTGTAGACCTTGTCATGCCAAGCTAGTGCCGACACACGCCTTTCGACCCCACCATTGCAAAGGTGAGTAAGTCGGTCAGAAATTTCAGAAACTCCTTCAATTGCCCTCCACAATGTTTCTACATCTATTTGTATCGTTTCCTTCTACTTTTAGAACATACCAAAATACATAAAAGTTCAAGCAATGGCCCGCGACGCCATCTTTTCGCAAGAGCTTTCGACTCATCCCACTTCTGCCCCTCAAAACCCCAATCTCTTCCGCGATCTAGAACCGACCACGACTTCTCGCTCCAGAGCCGATTACACATTTCCCGAAGGCGGTTGGAGAGCCTGGCTCGTAGTCTTCGGCTCCTTCTCCATCATCGCCGGCACATTCGGCCTCATCTCCTCGGCCGGGATCTTCCAGGCATACTGGAAGGCGCACCAACTCTCTTCCTACGCTTCGCGAGACATAGGCTGGATCCTTGCTGTCAATGTATTCCTGAACTTGTTTCTGGGTGTGCAGATTGGGCCATTATTTGATCGATATGGTCCGAGATGGCTCTTGTTGCTCGGTAGTGTGTTGTACGTCCTTAGTTTGGTGCTTCTGGCGGAATGCAACAAGTATTGGCACTTTATGCTAGTTTATGGGATCTTGAGTGGTGCTAGTAGTGCGTTCCTAACTACTACTGCGCTGGCTGTTGTTGCCCATTGGTAGGCCTATTCTCATTCTAAAAGGCTGTTTTCCTCTATGGGAGCTGGGGAGCTCTCTCCAAACACTTGACTCTTTACTATGCTAATTCATCGGGCCAGGTTCGAAGTCAAGAGAGGCATGGCTTCTGGCATTGCGTTTGTGGGATCAAGTGTTGGGGGTATAGCCTTCCCATTGATTCTAAAGCCGGCCTTTGAGCATTTGAGTTGGGCTTGGGCGGTGAGGCTCATTGCTTTAATCGTATTGGTAATGATGACCGCGGGAAATTTGTGTATTAGAGGAAGACTGCCGCCGAGAAAGAATGGCGGGACTGTAGACTTGAGATGTTTTCAGGATGCAAGATTCTCTTGGGCTACGATCGGAGTTGCGTGTGAGTTTAAATGTCTCCAAAACAAGGCTGCTTATGTACTAATGTTAGCATTGCCTAGGTTTCGAATTTGTACTATTTGGAGCACTTGGAATTCTTCCTACCTATGCTTTAGGTCAGGGGTTCAGTACTCAGACCAGCTTCAACATCGTCGCCGTTCTAAATGCGTAAGTGAACACATTTTACTACTTTCTTTTAAGCTAATGGTCAAACAGAGGCTCGGCATTCGGCCGTTCCTTCTCTGGCTACTTTTCTGATCGCTATGGCCGTTTCAACACCATGATCTTGACGCTGACTTTATCTCTTGTCGTAACATTCGCTCTTTGGCTTCCCGTCGGCAATCACGTGGTATTATTTTACATCTTCGCTCCTTTGTTCGGCTTCGGATCGGGAAGTATCATTAGTATGGCTCCTGTTTGCATCGGGCAACTTTGCAAGGCAGATGAGTATGGTCAATTTTATGGCACCTCATACTCAGTTGTGGCATTTGCGTAAGTATGAGAATTCTTAGAATATTGAAATCTGCTGATAATAGTTAGGACCCTGATTTGTATTCCTATTGCCGCAGAGCTGCTACCAACTATTGGAGCAACCGGGTTTGTCGCCTTTTTTGGTGGAATCCTTTTCTTGTCATTGGGGAGCTTTGTGATGGCACGTTGGGCATGTCTGGATTACCAGTGGAAATGGCTAACCAAAATTTGAAATGAAAGCTACGCCCTGGAAATATATTCAGAAGTAAAACCAAGTTCCTCGTATATAATTTATCTTGGTATAGCATAGTAGAACTTCCAATGAACACTAATTTCCCCAATCATTCTTCTACAGTTCTTCCAATACTCATTACAAAAAGAAAGTTAAAGACCACGAACTTGGGGATGGGAAATCTTTTAGTGAGTATTTCAGGAAATCTACTATAGCTGTAATGGTCTAGTAAGAATTCATGCAAGAGCGATGGGATAACTACCTAGGTATCATGCACGCTTATAAATACAAGGATGCCCGCAGCTATTCCAGCAGAAGCAAGCTTTAGAAAGCATATGCAAGCTGCTTGATTTATGGAGTATGCGCAGCAATAGAAAAATAGAGCTAAGCATGCCATTAAGCTCTTCGAAAAGGCTTTATATTAGATGAAAAGGGTTATGTATACCTGCACATCCTCAAATTGGCTTTCCGTATATTTATTTCTACCCCGCCAGCCCCTTTTATTAACCGAGTAGTGCATAAGCGAGGTCCGCTGGGGACACAACACATGCAAAGAATAGGTACATCTGTCACAAATGTTCCTCGGCGTGATATGTTCTTTCTTAGCACATTCTTTGCGGTTTGGAGAATTCAATGCCTTTGATGGGTATCCTTTTCATTGTTAGTGAGGACCCTGAACCTTATGGTGACACGGGAAGGATAAACTGAGTCACAACTCATAATTACCATTTGGACTAACCAAGAAGATATAAACCAACCGTCTGAATATTGATAAAAATTAGATGAAGACCATCTCTCCTCTCCATCAGTCTCTGTTTATTAATAATTATTTACTCTTTCTATGGACCCCGCAACCTCAACAGCTAAAATGCCACCAACTACCTTTAACGATCTTACAGTCGATATCTTGCTCTCGATCCGCGATTTTCTGCGGCCGAACGCTGCAGTGTGTCTCGCTCTTTGCAGCCGCGGCTTATTAAATGCTCTCCATGTAGACTTTAAAATCATCACCAAACAACCTTCGGTGGATTCTGCCATGTTCAAAAGACTCCTAGCCAAAGATTTGAAGAGGTCTTTCTACTGCAATCGCTGCGATAAGTTCCACTTTCGTAAGTAGTCTTGAGCTTGGGAAAAAATAACTCATGGTCTAAGGCTAATTATATTCTTCTTCACAGGGGATGCCATTTTATGGCCGGACCATTTCTCCCCGGAATTTAATCGCCTGTTACGGTCGACTGAATTCTACGATGCTGGAAATCCAGAGACAGCTTCGAAGGCAATATTCTGGCCTAATAAAAAGGAATGGATACCGCGACCATCAGATTGGGATCGCCGTGATTACCATTCGAAAGGAGTGGTACAAAGAAATAGGAAATCATATGAGGTGCATTTTGTCCAGGTGAAAATGGCGTTGGAAGGCCGTATGCCGCTGGAAGCTTTTGAGCATACAGAAGTTGAAAAGAGGTAAGTTGAAAAAATGTTTTGAATTTAGGAATGTTGTATAAACAGTATCCGCTCCTGCGCGCTGTTGAGCTTTTACGATTCCGGGCTAATCATCGATTTTCTTCCAGGTCTACGCGCATTTGGGGCTTGAGGGCAAGCGAAGGAGGCCGGGACCATCTTTATGCTACATGCGAGTACACAGAGATGTTATCCGTCGAAGCGCGGATAGTCTCCAAGAAGCTCCTACTCCGCTCTCAGCTTTGGGTTTCAATTCCAGGGTCGGATCTTTGGAAGCTCAGGAAGCCGGGCGGCCTTGAGATGCACGTGTGCAAAGATTTAGATTTTGTCAACCCATTCGGGCCATATAAGAATGAGAACGACCATTGGAATCGTCTCGTGAGCTCCATACGGAAAGAACCTGGAGGACTATCAGCTGGAATAGCACGTACGGGTGTTATTTCATGTCGGGTTTGCTGTATGGATTATGAAATCAGCATGAGGAATATTGAGAGGGGAGGAGAGGAAGACCTTTTGGTTATATGGGCTACGAGGTGGCTTAATCTGGGCACTGGTAAGTCGCTAGAAGATCTGACGTGGCAGAGCCATAACGAGAAGTGCAAGAAGTATTGGTAGAGCCTCGACATAGGCAGGGCATTCATGAACAGTTTGAGGGTGCTAATGGGATCTCGCTGGAAGTATTCACACAAGAGAACGAGAAAAGACTTTTATCGTCTAGTTGTCTTGAAGAAAAGTCGAACAAGCTTCTGACACGTACACCTGGAGGATACACTTGGCAACATGGACACAGCTGTGGTCCGACTTGGGTACTCACAAAAAGCGATGTCGCAGACATTATCATCGGACCTAAACAGCATGCTAGGGGGGCCCGGGCCACAGCAACTGCACATGCATTTGGAAGCCTTTTCGATGGGACTATAAATTATTGTTTGCTTGATCGAGGAGTTTTTGGGTTCTAGGTAACATGGGAACTTGACTTTGCCCTAGCTATACTTTGGCTGTCGGACTAAAATGCAGCCAGAAGTGAGCACATATTAGAATGAAAAGTGTAATTGTCCGTTCTCAAATTATTCGGCATCAGGCTCATCGACGCAATTCCCATGAATCCCATCATTATTACCTTTCGGAAAAGACGACGATGCCAACGCCTAGATCATCGGCTTCCCATGACAACAGAAACCCATGGACTTAAGTGTATCTTCTCCCATGCCCCTACGGCCAGGCGCGTTGCGTTTACTACCACGCCAAGATCTATTCCAACCCGTTCCACGTTTACCATGCGGTCTTCTACATGTGAAGGAAATTTCGTCGTGCAAAGCAAGATAGACAAAGCCATCTCCAGAGATGTCGCCCTTGAAAGCGTTAGGCGCATGATTTGAAGAAATACAGGTAGGATTGATTTCCGACACCTCGCCTTGTTTCCTAAACTGTGTGCCATTCATTCATCCAAGGGAAATTTATTTTGGAAGGGAGTATGCCACCATGCTACATGCATAAAGCAAAACGGGAAAAGAAATTAAACAAAAGTCTTGCGGTTCTTATGACCAGGATGCATCTATCGGTGAATATGTTGGGCAGCCTGTGGAATTTTCTTCCTAACTAAGGAATAATGCGTGCATACGGACATCCTAGCTACCACTACTCGTATACACTTAATTTACATCGTACCCGCTTAACACACCACCAAAACTGCATATTGGCGTCTAAACTCAAATATCAGTCAGCTGCTCTATAAGGGATAATAATACAAATTGAGATTTACATTCTATCTTACTCCCAACACCTATATAATACATTCCACCTGTCAAAACAAAAACAAAAACATCTACACCACAAGCCCCACCAACTCATCATCCTTCACATCTTTCACCACCTCCTTGCACCTGCCACACAAATTATCTTCCTCCGCCACGAATTGCCAACACCGAGGGCATTTCTCCGCTTTGGGCGGGAAGATCGTAACGCTGGCTTTTTCGCCAAGGATAGAGAAGGTGGAGGAGAACGTCCAGGCGGATTGGGTTCGTAACGATGTTGAGGTTTCTTGTTGTGGTTGTTCGGAACTCGAGGGATTTGCTGCTGGTAGGACGAGTTCTGCTTGATTTGAGAACGCTTCGTGCGCTGTTTCCGCGGACAGCCCTTCTGCCTTGTTTTCTCGAGCTTGTTCCACTGTTGCCTCATCTGTAGCTTTTTCTTGAACTAGCTGAACAGACGACACTACAAAAATACTAGCCAGCTCCTCCGTATATCTCTCAAAAACCTCCAGTAATTTCGGTGGCAAAGTAAGCACAACACTCGATTCCAGACTCGAGCCAATCAACTTCCTCCCTCTCGCCTCCTCCTGCGCTGTCTTGATCGCCGTATTTGCCGCTAATAAAATCGGAACTTCATCTCTAATCTCCAGCTCTGCCACATCACAGCGTTCTGCATCAAAGACCGGTTCCGTGAGCGGTCGAAGAGAGGGATGGGTTTGTGAGCTGGCTTTCATCCACTGCGGTCTATAATCCCACGCTTCTTCAACGAGATTCGGCGTAATAGGGGCCAGCATTTTCAGAAGGCCGTGGAAGATCTCCTCCAAAACACCCCCGCCGTCACCACAATACAGTCTATCTTTCATAGCTTCTAGATAAAACGCCGACAAATCGGTATTGATCCACCTATTAATCGCATTAACCGCTTTATAGAACTCGTAGTTTAGATACGCGGTTTGCACTTCGTGCATTACGGCTTGCAGTTGGACGAGGGCAATTTGGTCGAGTTTGGTGACTGGGGAGTCGCGGATGAGGGGTGTTTGCATGGAGCCGAGGAGCATTTTGATGATCATGCGGTATTTGAGGAGGGCAGATTGGTTGAATTTAAGGACGGGCGTGCCAATTACTACGTCGCGCGTGTAGTCGCTACTGGCTACCCAGAGGCGGAGGGCGTCGGCTCCCATCGCTTGGTGAACTGCAATTTTGGAGTTGCGTGCTTTGTACTGTGATTAGTCAGCTTTTGATTTTTGAACATGGGAGATTTCATACTGGAGGAAGTAATGTCCCATCCATGATCTGGCTAGGCGCGATGGTGTTGCCAATAGACTTGGACATTTTCTTGCCCTTTTTATCGAGTGTAAACCCATGTGTAATCAGCGTCTTGAAGGGAGCACCAGCTCGACCAGAAGCACTGGTATGTGTCAACAGACTCGATTGAAACCAGCCTCTATGCTGGTCCGAACCTTCAAGATAGACGTCTGCTTGCTCCTCAGTTTGGGTCCAACTCGTCCCGCTGTCAAACCATACATCCATTGTGTCCTTTCCTCTTCTGTAGGTGCCATTCAATCCGGGAACGACCCAAGCAGGATCGTCCGCAGCATCAGTCCACCATGCGTCAACTCCCTTCTTATCGATCACAGCGATGATGTGAGCCACGCTTTCGTCGGTGAGGACAGCGACTCCATCTTCATCATACAGGGCAGGAATCGGAACGCCCCAAGCACGCTGTCTCGAGATACACCATTCACTTCTTCCCTTCACAAAGCTTTCTAGCCTTGCCCTTCCCTTCTCCGGTAAAAAGTTGACATCCTGCAAAGCTTCCAGAGCTTGATTTTTGACGCTACCAACATCCGAAAACCACTGTTCTGTAGCTCTGGTGATGACCGGAAGTTTCGTCCGCCAATCATAGGGATACTTATGCTTGTATTTATGTGTAGCAAGGACATTATTCCCCAGGAGCTCTAAAACCGCCTTGCCGCCAGCCCCTAACACTGGTTTTCCCTCCAAGGCCTGAGGATCATCAGGGAGCGCGGCTGAAGTGAAGTGCCCCACGTCATTCACAGGGGCCGCAGCTTCAATTCCCAATCGCATACAAACTTCATAGTCATCCATACCGTGGCCAGGAGCGAGATGGACCACACCAGTACCAGAGTCGGCAGAGACGAAGTCTGCGTGAATCACAGGCTGTTCCACTGCTTCCTTGCCTCGGAGACTGTTAACATATGTGGCTCCTTCGAGCTCCTTGCCGAGAAAGGGCCAAACAGCCAATGGCAGCTCCTTGTCCAGAATCTTCATGAGCTCAGGCACTCTTGAGTGAGCTACAATCAAACCCTTCCCGCCACTCTTCACAACCACATATTCCAGGTCTGAATGCACAGCAATAGCTCTATTCGCGGGTAGTGTCCACGGCGTAGTCGTCCAAATAACAGCATAAAGATTATTCATCTGCATCTCCCCCATCTTCTCCCTCAATCCCGCCGGAACACTCGTAACCTTGAACTGCACAAAAGCAGCAGTAGAAACATGATCAACCTTGTACTCGAGCTCCGCCTCTGCCAATGCTGTTCTCGAGGACGGAGACCAGTATACGGGCTTATATCTCCTGAAAATGAGTCCCTTCTTTGCCATCGCTCTAAAAACGTTCAGCTGCTGGATTTCAAACCCCTTATCCATAGTCCTCCACGCCTTATCCCAATCTCCCATTATCGCCCACTCCTTAAACCCCTTCTTCTGCTCATCCACTGTGGTCTCAGCCAAGTCCCTCGCAAATCTCCGTACGGCTACTGCGTCCATGGTGTGTTCGCCATGCTCGCGCTGTTTCTCGAGAGCTTTGATCTCAATGGGCAGCCCGTGGCAGTCCCAGCCCGGAACGTACGTAACGCGCGACCCGCCTTGGATCTTGGTGCGCAGGATTAGGTCCTTGAGGATTTTATTGAGGGCGTGCCCGATGTGTAGACTGCCGTTTGCGTAGGGGGGCCCATCGTGGAGGACGAAGGGGGTTTGAGCCGCGCGCTCACGACGCTGCCAGGTGTAGAGGTCATCGGTGCATGCTTTTAGGTATCTGTCTCTGTTTGCGGGCAGAGGTCGAGGACTATAGTAACACAAGATTAGATGGCAATTGAGAGGGAATTAGGAGAGTAAATGTTACGGAAATGCAGATTTGGGTAGTCTTAGAGTCGATGACCATGAGCCTGGTGGACGTACGGGCATGGTCGTGGGCCCTGCAACTGGCGCATTTTCTGAAGTTCCTGTATTCGCAGGTTCCAACATATTTTTTTCTAGGGTGACACGCGATCACGCGGCAAGCACGGACAAAATCTGTCTTTGTAAATGGAAACTATACAGCCCAAACTCAAGGAAATAGACACTTTATATGTGAGGAGCACAAAGCTCTCTGAGTCAATGGGTTGTACTATCTTTATTCTGGTATCTTGTGAGTCACTCCTTCCTTGTAAATGCAACGCCAAATCCAAACTCGCATCTCGAAACCCCAAGAACCACTCAGCGATGCAAAGATCTACCCAATAACACATTCTGGTAGTAAAATCAAAATACGGTGATTCCACTAACTGTACCATTCTTCAGTACTTCAAAGACCAAACCAGGGAACCCAAAAAGTGTAGTGTTGCCTAAGCCCCTGACATCTTCAGCCCCAGGACCAGCAATATCGCTTCTCCTCCCCCCAACACTCTCTTCCCATCCACCCAATAATTCAACACTGCTACCAGGACTATCTCCCCAGTCTCGATTCAACACCATGCCGCGCTGACGAGCCTTAGCTTCCTCGGCGTTCTTGTATATGCTTTTCCATTCCTCGTGTAATCTGCTTTCGATATCCTTGAACGGAGTCTCTGAATTTGCAATGTTTTTCTCTTTGCCAGGTTCCAAATACTGAATTTCCCAACGACATCGTCTATGCCGGTTGAAGGGGTATGAACCAGGAACATTACCATGGAGAACTAATTTCGAAGCAACGAGACGAGAAGAGGCATCGGTAGGGACTATATTATCAGATTCGTGCTCATGAGAAGCTCCCTGTTTCGAAGGCGGACGCTGGGATGGTGAAGTGGGAGTCGAGAGTAGAACATCAAAGCCATGGTAAAAGTAGTTGTAAAAGCACTCTCCAGATACATTTCCTGCGACCTCTCCTTCTTCGTTCTCGTCGTCTGAGTCATCAGTCGCCGTATGCGCTGATGACTGATCTGTATCCGTCGAATCATCTTGAAGCCTCAAATCATTCGGATCTGGGCGATTGTAGGTTCCTGTGTTTTGCCGGGGTTTGTGGATGGACATCCGTTGGTCATTCTTCCGATAGATGGCATCGGGGGGCCCTAGTTCTGTCACGAGCTCCTGTGGTGAGGTATGACCCAGCCGGATCCAGAGTGGAACATGCCCTCTGGATCGCAGGAGCTCTAGACGTCCTTCTCCATGTATCTTCACAAGCCGTACTTCAGCTGGAACTGATTCCTTTCCCTTTATAATTGTAGCAAATGTGTCCAGCGGGTCCATCGTCATTGTGAACAAACGCTCTCGCGCATCTGGCCATGAATCCCCAGCGAAGATTGCCATGGATGTCGCAGGATGGCTGGCAGATGAGGAAAGAAGTGATACCACATCTTTACCAGGCGACCAAGACGAGGAGTGCATCGGAAAGGAGAATGCCAGGCCCGGATATGACAGCACATAGAGTCCCATCTCGGTCTCATCGCCAGCTTCCGGTTCCACGTATTCGCCCGGGAACGTTGGTCCCAATAAGTTCTGATAGATATGCCGATACGTAGGACCACTCTGCAATAGCGCCGCCGGGGTACTCGCTGCAGGCCGTAAGACATCTCTGTCGTTGTATGTAAGGTGGCTCTTGGTGAAGTCCAACACTTCGATAAGTCGCAAACGCTGTTCGGGCCCATCGAATCGCAAACGGATACCGTTGGCAGCAAGATCAAGAACGACGGGATCTTCCACAGGCGCGGTGTGTTCATATGTGAGATCTAGCTTGGGGAAACGCTGAGGTTCGGCTTTCAGTCGTGTGAGGATGTCGTGGAGGGTAGCTCCCAGTACTAGATTAAGTGTTAGATGAGCATATGGGTTTCAGAGAGAGGGTTTCGTACCTAAGAAGCCCAAAGCCTGTCCCGGACGGACTTGGGCAGTGAAAAGAGACATTCTGGGAACATTTGTTGTAGGAAAAGAGGCGATGGTCCTTGAAGTCGTGAAGGGAAGTGAAGCTATGCTCCGTCATGTGGAGGGGTAGCAGCTCGACTTAAAAGCGGCATTCAATAAGTCAACTCTACAATCACTTATCTCCCTATTTTAAGGGTGATAAAGTACGAAAAGCATTGATATTTCTCACTTGAGGCGTTACAACTCTATTGAATACTCAAGTATTATAAGATTCTTTGATATTATGATATATCTTGAGCCGCGGTATTAAGTCGAAACAATTCTGCCGCTTTTACAGAACGTCCGTTGCCATGGTAGCAACCGCGGCCGCCTTTTCGTCGGTTCCTCGTTTGCATGGGACGTCAACACTTGACTTTCACTTTCCAGCTCACGAAAATCACAGCTTTCTTATCAAACTCGCATTGTATCGCCTTCTTCGCCAAAAGCTGGATAATACAAATCATTGAGCATACTTACAAGTTTGTGTAACAACAGATTGGAACAAACACTGTACCAAATCGCGCTTCAATCAGCAACGCGCCCACCCTCACGGGGTTGATTCTATTTATTAACAAGCAGTTATCATTGTATGGCAGGACTCCCACGGCCGGCAACTGTCGCGCCTTCTCGCAAGCACAGTATGCGTCCACCAGTAGTAAGGCCATCGGCTGCCAGATCACAATCCGCAGCCCCCCCCGGATCTCGAATAGACAGGTCTGGCGCAGCATCACCCGCAGAGTCGATCGCCTCGATAGCCACTAGCCGCGGCGGCACCAAGCGCAAGGAGCGAGACTTTGACCACGATGAAGAAGAGACAAATATAAATGTTGTGGTGCGGTGTAGAGGGCGCAACGAGCGCGAAGTCCGCGAGAATAGCGGAGTGGTAGTGTCTACAGACGGAGCAAAGGGAAAGAGTCTGAAGCTCTCGATGGGACCAAGCGCACTCAGCAATAAGACATATCACTTCGACAAGGTCTTTTCTTCTGCCGCGGACCAAGCTATGATCTACGATGATGTTGTAACTCCCATTTTGGATGAAGTACGTTTAACACTGGATTCACATTTGTTTACTTGCGCTGACACTTTGTAGATGCTTGCAGGGTACAACTGCACCATATTCGCATACGGACAAACCGGCACCGGCAAAACATACACTATGTCTGGAGATATGAACGAGACATTTGGAATGCTTTCCGATGCAGCAGGAATAATACCCCGTGCCCTTCATTCTCTCTTCCGCAAATTAGAGATTGACGATGCGGAATGCTCTGTCAAATGCTCATTCATCGAGCTATACAACGAAGAACTTCGCGATCTGATTTCCCCAGACGATATTGCCAAGCTCAAGATATACGACGACAACAGCAAAAAGGGCCATTCGAGCACGATCGTCCAGGGCATGGAAGAATCGCATATCAAGAGCGCAACCGAAGGAATCAAGCTTCTTCAAGCAGGAAGTCACAAGCGCCAAGTTGCAGCAACTAAATGCAATGATCTGAGTAGTCGAAGTCACACAGTGTTTACAGTGACAGCGTACGTCAAGAGGACTGCTGAGAATGGCGAGGACTATGTCAGCGCGGGAAAGCTCAATCTTGTCGATTTGGCAGGTAGCGAGAACATTCAACGAAGTGGTGCGGAGAACAAAAGGGCAGCTGAGGCGGGCCTGATCAATAAGAGTTTGTTGACTCTTGGCCGCGTGATCAATGCCCTGGTCGATCGAAGTATGCATATTCCATACCGCGAGTCGAAACTTACCAGACTGTTGCAAGACTCGCTTGGTGGACGGACAAAAACTTGCATTATTGCTACGGTGTCTCCCGCCAAAAGTAATCTGGAGGAAACGATCTCTACATTAGACTATGCGTTCCGAGCGAAGAACATCCGCAATAAACCTCAGGTCAACCAAATGATCAACAAGAAAACACTATTGAAAGAGTTTACCTTGGAGATTGAAAGATTAAAGGGTGAGCTGATTGCAACCCGACAGCGTAATGGCGTGTACCTGTCGAATGAAAGTTATGAGGAGATGACTGTTGAGAGCGAATCGCGGCGCATTCTCTCTGAGGAACAAGGGGCCAAAATCGAAACAATGGAAATCAACCTACGTAATAAAGTCCAGGAACTTTACGCTCTAACTTGGAATTTTATGACTTTGAAGAAGGAAAACGATGGGACGAAACTGGTCCTTGATGAGACACAAGGTGTACTAGCGCAGACTGAGTTTGTCCTGGAAAACACCCGTCAAAGTCTGGCTGAGGAGACCGTGCTCCGCAAAGCACATGAAGAAACAGAAGATCAACTTAATACCATTGGCACGAAGCTCTTATCTACTCTAGGCAAGACAGTCCATGATGTGGACGAACTTCACTACAAGAACAGACGGAAATCGGATCTCCAGTCGCTAAACAGAAACACATGGAACTTGTCGCAAGCACAAGTGTCGGAAGTCACCAGCATGGTCGAATCGAGAGTTGACGAGTTTCGATCTCAACAGCAAGAGTTGATGGCATCTGTATCCACTAGAATGCAATCCTTCGTCCAGGGCGAGCTGGAAAAGCTATCTAATACACAGTCCTTTCTAGAAGAGAACATATCTGCTTTCGAAGCATCCGAGAAGGAAGTCTCCCAACAAACGGAGTCATCCAAGGATGAGATGGACACAGTGCTTGAGGAGATAAAGACAGTCCGAGAAGATGTCAAAACGCGAGTTGGGCGAGGCCTTCAAGGCATGTCTGATGCCGCGGAACGTATTTCTGCAGAAGTTGTCAGTGAGCTTGGCATTTTCCACACCGAGCTTCATACATCCTACAGCTCGCTCGGTCGCGACTTCAAGGGCTTGTTTGAGGACCTACTGAAACACGTCAATGCCCAAAAAGCTGAAGCAAATGAACTACGAACGCAGTTGACTACAGCAAGCGAACTTGCTATGCAGTCCAACGCTGCAGTTGCTTCACGACTAGATGAAGTTCTCAAGGAGGAGCGAGACCAAGCTGCTCTTGACCGCCAAAACTTGCTATCACAAATCACGAGTCTTGTTGTGGCTCAGGGAGAGACGCAAGACGCACGCTTGGGTGCGAAGATTGAAGTGGTCCGTAAAGATGTTACGTCTTCGAAGGATATCTTTGAGGCGTCACAGACGCAATACAGCAAGGGAATGGACGCCTGGAACGAAAAAGAAGGCAAGCTCGTGGATGATATTCTCATATCACGAGAAACACTGAAGAGTAAATTGAAGGAAGACTGGCAGGTAAGAAGCACACATTCATTTTAATGCGAATTGAACTAACATGCTTCTAGGCTGCCAACAAGCATAATTCATCTCTTCAACTCGCTACGAATTCAGTTCATGATGAGACAGTTCGTATTGTCGACGAACAAAGGAAAGATATCGATACCCAGATGCAAGCCCTCGATGACTTTGTTACTCGCGCGCGATCTCAAAATACCAAGCATCACGACGATCATGTCCGATCACTGGGCGGACTCTCTGCTACTGTTAAGTCCTCGTATGGCAACATCGGCACTCACTTTACCTCAACTTACGAACGAGTCCAAGACCTGGGTGACGAGATGTCAATAAAGACAAACGCACTGGAGGATTCTCTAGCACCTTTGGACTCAATCCTGCAACAACCTCTCATCGATCTCCGGTCAAAGATCGCAGAAACAACCTTGCAAGAATACCAATCAACAGGCGAGACGCCCCAAAAAGTCCAATACCAATATCCAACAGAGCTACCTAGGACACAACCTCACGAGAGCTTACTTGCTGCCCTTCGTCGCCCTGCAAACGCAAGTCCCAGCAAACCGCAAATGGTCCCCGTTATCTTCAACGATGCCATGGATGATAATACCACAATCACAACCGCCATACCGCTCTTCTCTCGGTCTCTGTCAGAATCAACCGATACCAGACCCGTCACTGCAGGCGGTCTGCGCGAATTAGACGTCAACACCCACACTTTAAACCTCGACCTCCAAACCGTCTCCAGTTCCGGTAATTCCGGCGACAGCACGAAAGAAACGCTTCCAATCTTCAAAAGAAGTGTCAGTGGTAAGTTACCTGTTCTAAGGAGCGGTCAGAAGAGCGCGAATGCGAGTGTCCATGTCGTGCCGGCTGAGGGGAGGGAGAACAGTGCGGTTCCGATGCTAGCGCAGCAGAGTACCGGTCGAAGAAGAAGTCCAAGGACGGGATGAGATACTCTAGTGGCTGTGGCTTTTCGTTCCGGGGTTTTTCCGTCGGATTAAGGTTTTGAGTCTGGCGCCCACTCTTCTGATTGACGGGGACGGGTTGCGTGTTTTGTTCTACCGCCAGGTAACTGGTGTTATTGGTTTGGGGTTTTGACGCGAGTCACGTAGAAGAATAAAATCGTATTTCGATAAACTCGGCTTCTTTCGTATAAGCATGCATTATGGACGGAGATCTACAGATCTACACGACGGTACGGAAATTTTATCCGTGTCAATCAGGGAAGCTACCGGTAATGGGAATTCGAAAGTATGGGTAGGAGTTTCTCTAGATGCCGGTACAAGGAGATCGGCATCGAGCTATTGGTTGTGCATCTGCTTCTACGCTTGCCATTGGTGCGTGCGTGGGAGAGTAGCTGTGTGATGGGGAATAACGGGATAAGGGATATGGATTCGGGCTATTCAATGTTTGGTGTTTTGTTTGCGTGGTGTGGGTGTGGCAAAGAGGAGAGAAGATTGTTAGTTGGTTACTATTATGTGAGGCGTGGTATGTTGCTGTGGCGTTGGTCTCCTAGGCTCGCGAGAGCTAGCCTGAGTAGGCTTGTAGGGAAGGTCCTGACGAAAAGGCGATTGGTTTTTACTGAATCTTCCGTGGAGAAACTTTATCTATTCATTATCAAACTTCTACTTGTATGTTCCGGGAGAAAGAAAGACTAGATGTTGAATGCTAGGTGCTGTGCTTTCGAGTATTGGTGGCGGGACGGGGATATTGGATTCAGGGGGAACGTCTGAGACTACTTAGTTGCGTAGCATGTGATGTAGGGAAATGTTATCGTAATGTTATTTGATCATTGTTTACCGGAGATTGCACGGCTTATTCACTCCTCTTGCGCGTGGATGAAAAGGGCTCTGAAGATCTTAGTTACAAGTAGAGCGGTTGATCATAAAATTTCAATTCCCAGTTTTCACTCCTGTTTTTAGCGTCGGCTTTTGCTTTTTGACTTGTATTGTGCTTGTTAGAAGTTGCGTACGAAGGGGTGTTCGAAAGGTAATTCCGGTTAACTGTTTTCTTTGCTATCAAGGTAGTCTTTGCCTTTGACTGTTCTTCTAAGTTTCACTTCAAATCATGCCATCAGCAACTTTTCAGGGCAAGTAAGCTACAATACTTCTCGTAGGAATAGAAACACTAGCCCGTGGTCAAAGAGTTGGGCAACAACCGGCCGAGTGATAGGACGCGTGGCGGCTTCAAAATGTACGCGTAGATACAACTTCGCGTTGACTTCGTTTTCGGTGTATCTTGCTCGGTGTATCTCAATCGATGTGGTAGAAAGCAAGTAGAAAGTTTAAATGGAAACCTCGATCGGGACATATTTTCTGATTTGGAAAGTCTAAGACGTTGGTTTTTTTCAACGTGGGGGTTTCGGTTGGCATCTCCGAATAATAGCCAAGCCAACACCAACCTAGAAGGAGTAGATACTTCGATGTTCTTGTGAATGACCTGGACTCAAGTTTAAGGAATTGTATAGGCTGATAGATATAGGGGTATCGGTATCGGATATGGTTTCGATACGCACTTGCGATGAGGCTAGTGGATAGATATCACCTAGTTCTCTATTGCCATGCCAGTGTTTCGCAGCTGTACTTTTTCATGGCGAGACTGTACCTCACATATAGACCAATAAGAATTCTCAACCTCTAGTAAGCGCGTCTTTAGCGTCATGTGAGGCTAGTTCTAGTAGCCTGTATCGTGGGCTCTCCCGAAACTTAGCCAGAGTAGCCTACTGCCACCCGTACTTTTGGAATCGAATTCTGTTATTTAGAACACCAAGTAGGAGGGCTTTCTAGAAGCTTGAATTATATAGTTTAGGTTTCCATGGCTTCCGCCCCGCTAAACCCAAACTGGGCAGAAACTAGACCAAAATTGGCCTTGAAAGGTCTAGTACAGAACTTCAAACTGAGTAATAAGCAACTAGCTTGTAACAGATGGAAGTATAATCCTTGATTGATAATCAGTGCGATCCAGTCATGAGTGACGAGAGAAACCTTGTAGAACACGAATTGACTTTTAATCGAAACATGTTATCAAAAATATGATTATCATCACTCTTAGTCTCTGCAGTCAGGAGTCACTTTTCCGCTCGTTTTGTAGATATATTCGATATCATGTTTAAGCTCGTGCGAGGTAGACGTATTTTTGAGTTAATGGAGCGCGTATGCGAAGTCTTAAGTTTTGATATCGTTGCTTGACCTGGAGACACATTAGCAACATAACGGAACTTTAATAAGCTTAAAAGGAAAAGCTAGAGCTGGGTTTTATTTGGAGGCAACCACTTGGAAATATGAATAGTAGCACTGCTTATTGAGTTATAGACTGTACTGATTATAATCATAGCTATTCGCAATTTCCCTGACCGATAGTCATATGACAGGCATTCTAAGTAACCACTTGCTGTTGAAAACAATACTGCATTCAAGTATATCTTTAGGAGAATATTAACACAGAGATCTCTCCGCTAGTAAAATGTCAAAATACTAACTACTTGGGTATACACCGTTCAAAAACATATGAGTTTACCAGAAGAATTGACATTTACAAGGAATAAGGCTATAAATTTGGGGGCGCTTTTGCTGGGAAGAGCATCGGTGTCTGCGGCTTCTGTAAGTAATAAGTGTGCAAATTAAGAAGAGCAAGAAATATCCCCACAATACTGGTGAATAAACTTTCGGGCCGTCTTCCAGATCCAGGGAAGGTCGATACAGGAGACCTGTCAGCTCGGCACGATTTCCACCAGCCCCCAATACGAAGTATCGAGAATGATAATGTTGAACTATTGACGGTTGACCACATGGGGAGATCCCGGAGCCACCAATCAGCGGTTTGATTAGTCCTTTACTTCCCCCTGGTAGAGGAAAACTAAGCCAGCCACTGCAGCCAGCTAGAAACACTAGAGCGGAAAGCAGCTGAAAAGGGTTAGGAAAGGAGAAAAAGGTGGAGCTGCAAAGATGGACGATACGATTCCTTTAGCCTGAAACCTAAACATCTGTCAATCTCGGATAACTCCGAAAGCACCTGCCTATTAGAAGACTGGGACTTACCCGGTAAACGTCTCTCCCTCGTGAGACCTCAACAATCTTCGGAGACTCCTTACGGCTTTTGATCAGAATCGAGCCTGGATGGACTGGACGATAGGTACTCTTTATTGGCGTTGCCAGATAGCTATCACATGATAGGCAAAACAACTCTTTGGAGGCATATAACGACAATCACCGGTAGAGCTAGAGCAGGCTAGTCAAGTTCATCGTCAATATTTCGAAACAAAGTATTATTAAGGTAAGGGGAGGAAAGCTAGACGATGGTGCGGGCTAGCTTCGGGGTTTCGGTAGTAACTATTAACAGGAGCTCGTATGATTCAAACTTCAAAGTGTACAGTATTACCTTATTCACGTTCCACCTATTGTGACCGAAGCTGTTTTGGGGCATATTGTGGCCTGTTTAGGGAACTTTGTTCGAAGTACGAGATATACTATCAAGGTCTGACAGCTGATGGTGGGATGTCATCGGCGGGAAGTACTTCGTCACAGGCCAAAGTGTTACGCTAAGAAATCTATATCAGGGGAGTCAAGAAGGGTGGTAAACGCACCAAAGCAAGGCAAGGCCCCCTTGCCCTGGTCTTCTTGGCGTAACAGTTTGGCCTGTGACGAAGTAGGTTTACTAAAGATTCCTGACGCTTGAGCCGCGACCGATAAAGACCCTGAGACTAGGGACCATGCAAGGCAAACTTGGGGGAAGTTGAGCTACTGCGAAGTGACGGATCCGGGGTAGGAGGAAGCGATTCATGGCAAATTCATAACCCATCCTACGGGAAGATTAGCTGGTGTACGGAGTAAAGATGAAAAGACAGACGACTCGGCATGAACACTCCTTCCTGCTTGGCTTAAAAGGAGACCGAGTAATATAAGGGGACGTATCTGCCTTCAAGTATATCCTCATGGGGACCAGTGGTTCACCTGACAAGCCAAGGCCCGTTTTCGATCCTGAGAGGGCTAGTGCCACGGAGTGGGATAGAAAACTTGGAAGCCACGTGGCAACGGGTTCGAAAAAGCGGTAGGGCTAAACTTAATGAATGGATGGTGAAAGTTAAGTTGTTATTCCGAGGTTTAGGCTTATAGGTAACGAAAGGATACCTGTATGCTTTACAGTAGGGCAATGCCGAATATTAGCTGCCTCCACTCTTGATGCATCTAGGAAGTATAATTTACGGCTAGAACCCGGGGTTGGTTTCTTGTAGTATGTACCTGTTTCTCGCGTTTTGAATTCTTGTTATCTATATGGGAATACAGGAAAGATACCTTGTTAATCGGACCACAACCACTTGTCAGAATTTGAGAGGCTATCGTTTCCACATCTAGTGATCAGGATGAAAACTTATTATCATTCCGCTAAGGGACTTTCGATCCAGTGCGTTGCTCTGTCCATGGCTGCAAGGCGTGGCTACGCTAATTATTGCCATGTGGTTTAAGAGCAAGGCAAGGTACCTCCGTAGGTTCCGGGACAACCTTATATCAGAAGTGTGCATAATATGAAGGCTTGGACGCTAATGAGGGTAAGACTGTAGCTGTATAATCATCATTCGAATAGAGGCTGATGGGTTGTTTCCGACGTTCCCCGTTGTCAAAGTCTGCCTCCGAGAAATTTGATTTGACTGAAGTAGAAGTAGAAAGTTTACCTCAATACTAGGAATAAAGCAATACTTGTTATTTTTTCTATCTCCGCGGATCTCCAGTATACTCAGCCTTGAACCTTTTCATGTCTGATTTTGAATATCAGGTCCGCTTAATGTTTCCCATTTCTTCTCTCCTCGCCGATGTGCATTGATGCGTTGGCCGGTCCCAACAGGCGGTGAATGTCTAGTCGTGCCTTGAAGTTTCAAATCATGTACTTTGTAGCTATCATTACCCCGAGGCGGGTAGAGCATATGTAAGGTGGGGTAGGGGGGGAAGGGAATGGA